CACATTTTTTTAATATTCAGTCAAATGTAACGGTTGAGCTTTTTCTGGATGCGATTTTTAGAAAATGACTTTTGAAATGAAAAAAGAATTTTCAAAAGTGGACTGAGTCATGCTTCAATTTTTACAATATTACATTTGAAATTCTTCTTCAATTTTTTTATTTTTTTTAATTTTTTTATTATACACTTTCTCATAAAATTTTAATATATATATTGTTTTCCAAAAAATTGAATAAATAGGGGAAAATAAAACACAAACCTAGATCGAAGCACATCCTTATGTCTTCAAAATTTCTACTTATTATTTTCCTATAAAATTGGTTGAAAATTTATTTTTATTTTATATAATCTATTGAGTGAAAAGATATAATTTTCATAATTCCCACCAAACACTTATTTAACATTCAAGTATATTGGGGTTTTGGTACTCTTTCAAAAATTTAAAATAGTTACATTTGTTTTTTTTTTTTAGGGACGTTTGCAGTGAAATGAAAGTAGATAATGAAATTGTAGAGAACATAAATTTGATAGAGAATGAGAATTAATTGTATTGTTGGATAAAATAGAGAATTCAATTGAAAAATATATATATAAAAAATGCAGGTTAATGAATCGAATAAGAATAATCGGACAAAAAAGTTTTAATAAGTGAGAATTCATGAAGAAATATTTTTGATAATTTTTTTTGAAAAAAAAATTATAAATTATATACGATATTTTGTAATATTATATTTCAATACAATTTTTTAAAAAAAAAATCGTAAAAAATAAATACTTGAACAATAGATTAAATGTGATTTTTGTAAAATTGAACTAATGTAATGTTAAAAACTTATAAAAATTAAATAGTTAAAAAAGGATAAATATATATGTATATATATATACACACACGGTAACATTCATTTCTTTTCATTTATCTGAATATGTGAGAAAAATAAAAACAGAAATAAAAATAATATATTTCTCAAGTCCATTTATCTAACTCAAATAAATAACATAAATGAAAATATTTGCATTTCTCCCGTCAATTCTCTATACCAAAAACACCCTTACAGTTTATATATATATAGATATATTCTTGTTGTAAAAAATACACAGAATTAATATGTTTTTAATTAAAAATTAAAGAATAAAAAAGTTTACTGTATTTTTCATCAAATTTATAATAATGAATATAAAATTTTGCTATATCAAAATTTATTCATATTTATTGAAGATATCATTATTTTAATTATTTATTTAATATTTTTTTCGTCCACCGGAAAAAATTGTATTTTATTTTTTATGTCATTAGATCTAATATTAAAAAAAATATATATTTATATTAGTTTTATATAAATATCATTATATTAATATTATAAAATAGTAATAGATTTTTTCTTTTTCTTTTTTTTCTTAATTTATATTCTCTCCGTTCGACTATAAGGGTCACATTTACCTTTTGCGTCATTGTACTTAATATTAAAAATATTTTTATATTTGTAAATTTTTTTATACAAATATTCTTTTATTAGTATTATAAGATATTAATTAAAATATCTTTTTAATTTTTTTAAAATTTATAATCAGCTTTAAATATGATAATTAATATTAAAAAAAATTAACATGTAAAAATAAATAAAATCGATAAAAATAACACTATATTTTGATATAAAATTCAATATTTCAATGCAACTCTGGCAGAAGGAGAGTAATATCCTTTTTAACAAACATAACAATAAAAATATTGGAAAAGAAAACAACCTGTGGGCCCCTTTGTTTCGTGTGAAGTCTAAATATAGAATATCTGACACCTTTTTATATAAGCAAAAGTATATTCCTATTTTCAAAAATTATAAATTAAATTATTAAAAATAATACACTGTCACCAACCAAAATAAACGATGTCATCTCCTTTTTAAAAATAGCAATATATATATATAATAATTAAAATGATGTGGGACCCATTCCTATCACATTATTGCAACTGCTATCTAGTGATTTTATTATTTTAATTTTTAAATAATTTTGATGTAAATTTTATAAAATAAAATAATATATTTTTTTATAAAACATTGTGACAATTGAATAGTAAAAAGTTACAAAATAATTACTAATTAAACACACCTTACATTTGTAGATATTACTCCACTTATTATGATTGGAGTTGTTTGGGGCTTTTTACTTACATGTTTATTAGTTATAAAAATTTTATTAAAAAAAATCAAATTAAATATTTGTTTTTATTTTAAAATACTAAATAGAAAATAATATATTAATATTAATGAATATTCAAAAAATTTACCAATAAAAAAACCAAATACCAAACACACACAATAATTGTAGTTTGTGTTTTGAATTTAAAATTAGATAATTTTGTGGGTAATATAAATATATATTAATACTCCCCCGGTCTCATTGAAAGGTTACCATTTTCTATTTTTGTCTGTCCCAAAACAAGGTTACCATTTTCTAATTTAGTAATTGTACTACTTATCTAACATAATAAATATCCGTTCAACTTACAATATATTACACAAATGTCATTACTTTTACATTACATTATAGTAATAGGGGTATTTTTATCTTTTTTACTGCAATTCAATATAATACTAATATTTTAAAAAATTTACGTACAAAAAAAAATGTCACCCTTCCAATGGGACGGATGGAGTATAATATTTTTAATATAAAATTTAAGTTTAGATATTATAAAAAATAAAAAATGATTTAATACTTTTTTATAAAAAATAAATTGATGAATAGCAAAATTAAAATAAAATAAAATCTGTAAAAATTTCCAAACAAACACAACCCCATATTTTTAGTATAACTTAAATAAAATAACAATTACTATAACAATATATATATATATATATAATAATTGTATCACGTGTGAATATGCTTAATTTATCAATTGACTTATGTTGATGTAAACAATTTATTCTGTATATGAATAATTTATTTTTAGGAAAACTTGTTTGATTGAAAGTTGTTAAATTTTCTATATCCTTCTAAAAGTATTTTTTTAGTCACCAAATGTAATATTATCTTAATATTTCTCTAAATATTGTGTAATATATGAACATAATTTCACGTGTGTTTGTTTGATAATTTGTGACTGAAGTTGAAAGTTTGGGATTTATTCACTTGACTAATATATATACTTCCTCCGTCCTATAACAAAGTATCTATTTTTTCATTTTAGTCCGTCCTATAACAAAGTGTCCATTTTTTTTTAATAATTGTACTATCTACCTAACATTACAAATACCCTTACGATTTACAATATATTATACAAATGTCGTTACATTTATATCACACATACTAATAAGGTTATTTTAATCATTTTTACTTTATTCTTACTACATTCAAATATAAAATTAATATTTTTAAAACTACGTGCAAAAAACAAATAAATATCTAATTATGGGACGAAGATGGTATATTTTTTTCAACTATGCAACTTACATTTCATTCTAAAAAATACATTATATTATTTTACAAACTCAAATAATATATAAATAAATAAATAATATTAACACACAAGTTTAGTATGAAAAATTATATTAATAATACTACTATAAAAAAATATTAATTTTACTGAGATGACAATATATATTATATATTTATTTTTTAATAATATGTATTAAAAGTTGTATCACGGCAAAAATCATTGAGTGCACATAATTATTATTCTTAAATTTATTCCCAAAAAAGCGTGCTGAAATATTAAATTATGTATTTATTTGTTTTAGGCTTGAATTTTTCTAATAGTAAAATTTTGTGTTTAAATAATTATTTGATTAGGCAATTCTTATAAAAAAATCTTATGATAAAAATATATTTATTTTTTACAAAATGCATCACTTACAACTATTTTAAAATTAACAAAAACACACTATATGCTATAATATAAATTATATTTATTAAAAACAATAAAATTCAACATATATTTTAAATGTTAAAAATATAATGTTTTTATTAAAAATTTAATATTTATAAGAATTCTTTAGAAGAAAATAGATCATCGCCAAAATATTTTGAACATCATTGAAATATTACTCTTATTCTATAATATTAGATAATCAATATATCATTAAAATATTTTAGAAAATTATACTAAAGAAATCTTGAAACCGTTAGATTAATTTTATGTTTTTATTTGCTACAATAATAATTATAAGTATCTTTCATAATTCTCATATGTAATACAATATAGGAACAATTAGGGTGCGTTTATTTTTTATTTCAAATCAAAATTTTTATTATTGACTTGCAGTATTATTTTATTTTACAAAATATAAAATTAAAATACCATTTAAATTAAAATTTAAATAAAAATCGCGTTTGTTTTTTTATTCAAACAAAAGAAATACTAATATTCATCATATACAATTTCTAATATTTTACAAAATATCATTTCAAAATATTATTTAAATAAAAATTTAAATTTAACATCCCATTTATTTTAAAATATATTATTGTATAATTTTATATATTATTTTCATTTATAAATAATTTATATATTAATTTGACAACATAAATATAAAAACTTATATTAAAATATTATAAAATTATATTAATTTTTTATTAAAATCTAATTTAATCTATACTTTGAAGAAGTCTAATCTATATGATTTCCTCTAAAAACTATTTAATTTAATTATAATCTTTTATTACTGTATATGAATTTTTCAATTGAGATTCGATATTTACAATAAATTCAAACAAAATTTTAAAATAAATTTAACTAATTTATATTTATGACATCATTATTAACGCGGTATTGACATCATGAATCTACCCAAAACTTCCCAATGATTACCTAATATTCACTAATTATTTAACCAATATGGACCGAACTGCAAAATTAAAAAACCCTAATTTTCAAATTGACCCCCAAAAAGTCAACCTCTTGAATTTTTACGCCGTCCGCCTCGCAACAAAACCAGCCCCCATTTTCTGCAAGAAAGATAAATTTCTTATCCCAAATCCCTCTCTCTTCACTTTTAACGCCTGCATTCACATTCAAATTCACTCTCACTCATCACCAAAACGACGAACAACACACAACATCAATTCACTGTGGGAATCGCCCACCTGTTTTTGATATATGACGTATTTAATGTAATTTGGCCTTTTTTGAATTTTTCTTTGTTTTTTTGCTTTAATTTTTGTTTTCTGGTGCGCATTTTGAACCGCTGAAGGGGATTGTTTTTGCTGATGTTAGTATTGATTGTCTTGGGGAAGGATGGGAAGTAACGGCACCGTATTCTCCTCCAGCTTTTTCCTCAAAAATCACTCACTTTTTTGAGGTTTTTGGGGCACGAAATCGGTCCATCAATTCAATTTTTTATTTAGAAATTGAACTCCTCTTGTGGTGGTTGTATAAATGCGCATTCGGTTTTGATTATCTGCAGTAGTTTTTCTGTGAATTTGAAGAGATCATTCATGTAGAGATTTTGATATGTACATTTGTTTTGTATCAAATTAAATTAACGTGGAGTTCTTCAAATTGGGGATGGGTGTGACGATGAGGAGTTGGAGGCCATGGCCGCCCCCAATTTCAAAGAAATTTAGGGTTAATTTGAGGGTGCAGAGCCTTGAAGGTGGTGATCAGGTAAAAGAGGCAGAGAAATATGCTCTTATTGTGGAGATCAAGTGGAAAGGTCCAAAAACTGCATTCAAGAGGAATTCAAAGACGAACTGTACCAGAGAGGAGGTTTGGAAGAAGGATAATGATTCGAACATAGTGACTGTGGAGTGGAACGAGGAATTTCAAAACGAGCTCCGACTCTCTGGATACAAAGAGAATGCCTTTGATCCATGGGAGATTCAATTCAGTGTTTCGAATGTGAGTCATTCTCTTCTCTGAATTTTTCTATTTCTTGAATTAATCCTATATTAATCAGTATGATTTTGTTTCAATTCAGTGGTTAGAATCTGTAGAATGCTCCGACCCGTTGTTGATGATGAATTTCGTAGCTGGTTATGAAATATGTTAATCTTTATAGTTTGTAAGAGTTCGATTAGATATGGTGCTAGAAACAGTATGTAACTTTGGCTGGTTTGGTTATGCGGATGATAATCGAAGTTTGTTATTTTGAAATCTTTGTCGAATCAATGCCCTGTTATGTTCTTTTGATCTGTATAAAGTCTAGATCGTTAAATTAGTTTGATTAAAGTATGATCGTATCCCGGGAATCGCGGTGTCTTAAGATACTTCGAGTTTGGCACACGTTTTGTTTCCAAAGATTCGTTAGCTTTGTCGCATTGTCGGATCAAGTGCCGCATTAAATGTTTCACACGGAATCTGCTGTTTTCAGGTGTCGGCGCCGCCACACGTAAGGAAACTAATGATCATTTGTTTATTACATGTAGATTGCGCCTTAGTTAACTGATCGTTTAGATCTCCGCAATGTCTGCCTTTCCTATGCAAGTAAAACTCGATTCGTGTGAAAGAAAGAACTAATTTCCGAATGTTTCTTTTCAGATCCTTAATCAAGGAACGAAGAATAAGGCTTCTGTTATTGGCGTAGCGCAATTGGATCTCGCTAAATATGCTGTCAAGACAGACGAACAGGACATCGAAATCAAACTTCCTTTAATGGTACCTAACGTCGTTGACAAGAGTTGCCCCGTGCTTAATGTAAGGACGTTCTTTTTAGCTTTACCGCGTGACCTGAACAATTTGGCGATCTTTTTTATAATATAATCACAATTTTGTCGTCTTGTATTTCAGATATCGCTCAACTTTACGGAAATTGGCCAAGAATCGAATGAGGCGATACAAAGTCCAATTCCTACTCCAACTTCGACGTCACCTCTTGCTTCATCTGCAAAAGAAGAGATCTCTGCTCTCAAAACCCGTCTCAGTAAGGTGAAGATATTCAGTGAATACGTCACGAATCGAAGATCTAAAAAGACCTGTCGGGAAAGAGGGAGTACTGAAGGAATAAGTCCTGTTAAGAGCGAGGAGGGTGAATATTCTTATTCAGTTGGTTCAGACTCCGCCGAGGAATTCGACAATGGAGAAACCGATGAAGTGAAGAGGGAATCCGATGTTAGAGCGTCGTTTAGTTATGGGACGTTAGCTTTTGCCAATTTCGCAGGTGTGTCGTCTTATTCTAATGCAGGTGGTAACGACTGCGAGGATTGGATTTACTACAGCAACCGCCGTACGTCGGATGTTTGTCCCTTTCGTGTTGAGGTTGTCTCCGAAGAGCCATCGATTTCTAGTTCTAAACGAAGCATTTTGCCGTGGAGGAAGAGGAAACAGAGCTTTCGATCCCCTAAAGATAAAGGCGAGCCTTTGCTCAAAAAAGAGGCTTATGGCGAAGAAGGTGGAGACGACATCGATTTTGATCGCCGGCAGCTCAGCTGTGACGCTGCGGTAAGAAAAAGGTTTCGAATTGAGTCGACGAATTTATTTCTTATGATAATTTCTCGAGAATTTAGCGTGCGATACTTCGTTCGTTTGTTTTTTCAGTGGCGTAAAGCTATAGGCTTGGACGGATTGGTTTCTGAATTTGGTGACGACAGCTTCGCCGTCGGCAGTTGGGAGCGGAAGGAAATAACGAGCCGGGACGGGCTAATGAAAATCGAAATGGACGTCTTTTTCGCATCGATCGATCAGCGAAACGAGAAGGCTGCAGGGGAGAGTGCGTGCACAGCTCTCGTCGCCGTGATTGCCGATTGGCTACAGAACAATCTGAACCTCATGCCTATAAAGTCACAGTTCGACAGTTTGATCAGAGATGGCTCGATGGAATGGAGAACCCTCTGCGACAACGAAGATTACATGGAGCGCTTTCCCGACAAGCATTTTGATCTCGAGACAGTTCTAGAAGCCCGAATCCGGGACCTCTGCGTTGTTCCTGACAAATCGTTTATCGGGTTTTTTCACCCGGAGGAAATGGGCGAAGGGAACTTTGAATTCTTGCACGGAGCGATGTCGTTCGACAATATTTGGGACGAGATCAGCTGCCCGGAGAGCTTCAAAACTGCGCCTGTTTTCATCGTAAGCTGGAATGATCATTTCTTTGTCCTAAAAGTCGAACCGGAGGCTTATTACATTATCGACACATTAGGGGAACGGCTGCACGAGGGATGCAATCAGGCGTATATATTGAAATTCGATAAGAACACAACAATCCATAAAACGGCGAAAACCGGCAGCCCATCATCCGAAGAGAAAACGGCGAGAAGATCTAAGGAGAAAGTGATGAAAAAAATCGAAGGAGAGGAAATGGTCCTTTGTCGGGGGAAAGAATCGTGCAAAGAGTACATAAAGAGTTTCTTAGCGGCGATACCTATTCGCGAGCTGCAAAACGACATCAAGAAAGGGCGGCCAATGTTGACGCTGCTTCACCATCGTCTACAGATAGAGTTTCATTATACAATGCTACAAAGCCCGGTCGCAACAACGTCACAATTGGTCGAGAAAACAATACCCGATGATGCATAGAGATAGGTAAAAAAGTGTATATTCGAACAATGCGAGCATAGCTTAATTTAATCGAGACAATGTAGATATCATCGGGATGGACGAACGGGTAGAGGCGAGGCCAAAATTGCCTCTTCCGTTTCATTTCAAGCTTCTTTTTTTTTTTTTTTTTTTTTTTTTTTTTCTTTTGCTAGATGGTTTAATATATATATATTTTTTTCTATCGTTTCAAGGGAAATTAAATTTTTATGATTGTTTAAAAATAAAAAATAAATATTTAATAGGATAATTTTATTGAAAAGAAAAAAAAAGGCCCAATTTCATGTCACTTGTCACAGTAGATACTTTTGTATTCTTTTAGGATTTTATTTTATTTTGAAGAAAAAGCCTATGAATTAGAATTTTTTGCAACTTTTGTTTGGGCACGTCAAAGGAGTAATGGGCCTTCAGTGCACACACTAACAAAGTGCATCATCTTTATGAAGAATACTCCTATATATATATATATATATACATATAAGAAATTTTAAATGTACATAAGTAACCACTCCAAAAAAAAAAAAAAAAAAACCATCGTATAACAAATTTTGAAAGAACATTTAAAATGTAGTATACAGTGTCATTCCTTATAAATTATAATTGGGATATAGTTCAAAGTTTTAACTTGAATTGCATGATTTTATTTTATTTTAAATAATATTTTATAAAATTACCATTCCACCATCTCCAACCCATCATAATTTTTTATAGAAGTTACACATTTTTTGTTTTTTGTTTTTTGGTAGATTGAAGTATTACCTAACTTGCAAATATAGTAAAAAGAGGGGAAATGATTAATATACAAGATGCAAATCATAGTTTTTAATACGAAAAAAACTGTACAAGCACCCACATAAGTAATGATTCTTTCAAATTTCAAAACTCATATGTGCAATTGAACAAAATAGAGAATGAATGAATTTGTAAAGCTCGAAATAATTTGCAGAGATAGCAATTCCCATGTAGTATCAGCTTTCGGACAAAAATCCTAGAGTTCACCCATCTCGGGACTTCAACTGCAATGATAAATCTCCATTCAGTACAGTCGAATAATTACGTAAAGCTCAAGTAAAATCGAAGGCTACAATGGAAGTTCGTATGATCAAGTTTGATTTATAACCAGAGTAATTGAATTCGAACATAGAACAATTATTCGACTATAGATATACTGTCGAAAACTGATGGGAAATATATTGACATCATCAAGGAAAATGAAAATAGATGAAATGTGAATCTTAATCTTAGTGCTATGTATCAATGCATATTTTTAAGGATTAGGTGAAAAGAACTAACCATCACATATTCATTCGACAAAAAATATATCTCGGGTCGTAAAAAACCTTCAAAGTAATTTAGTGTTAATGGATGAATACCGGGATTAGAATATTTGGGATCGCAGCTTCAATATCCGATCATGTACTGGGCTTGCATATTCCAATAGATTTTCGATTGCTTTAATGTCTCGGCACGGTCTGCAACCAGCCTCTCTTTCCAGTATTCCTTGCACCTAAAAAGTTAAACAACTTACGGATTATTTATTAGTTCAATTAGAAAAGAGAACGATCGGATAGGAAATTCTTGACTTACTCCTTCTTCAGGAGCAAGTCCAATTCCATCATGTGCACTGCATTATTATAAACGCCCGCCTGCAAAATCAAATGTTTTATTTATAAAGCTTCTAGATTTAAGGAACTTCATCTTCTTCTTTTCACACGATAATTAGATGCAAAATACATATGTAAGTATTATGATAAATGTATATGTAATCATGAATGTATGACCTCTCTGCAGACGGGACATTTTGATTCTGGACTTGCAGCCTTAATGCCTTCGAAAATCATTACAGAAGCAGCCGAGCAAGCACAGCCTTTGCAGAAGAGATGTCCACAGCCCAAAGCGTATGGATTGAAAACCAACTCCTGAAAATAATAAGCAAAAGTTACAGCATCAACGAGAAGGGGTTGGGGGACGGGTAGGTAAAATGGAAAATTTAATACAAATCTTCTCTGAAAAAATTTAAAATATATACAAACTTACCAAGCATATTGCACATGTAAGACTGTATTCAAGTTTCATAGAATCGGGAAGAATCAGAGTCATCTTGGGATCTGTAGTTAGATCGAAAGAGAATGGATTGAGCATTTCGTCTGAATTTTCACCATTCTGTTCCTTGGAATTCATCGCAAAAGCCCCGAGTTCGATTAGCCAAGGCGTATGAAGAATCTCCATGTGTTCTGATAGCATTCTAGATTTAAATTTCATGCCATTGACGGAACTGTGTACCTACATCAATCACACCTCAGAATATGAAAAATAACCTGTATCGAACGTCTAGTAAGGATACTAATTAAAAGGATCAGCTATTTCTTACTTTATCATACTTCTTGAGGATTTTCCGCATGGCCACAGCATTCATCATAGCATATTCAATTAACAACTTACAGTCTTGAGTCCTTGGTTGTTGGGCGCTTGCAAAACAGCAGCGCATCAATATGAAGTGTCTTCGAACTTTGCTCTGGACATGAAGCTGCAGAAGGTGCCTTACTCTGGCACTAAAACACCCAGTAATATCAGAAGCCTCCTTCATCAGCTCGGTGAAGAATGTTTCGTCACATGCTACAAGGTGTAAGATAAAAAAAGACGTAAAAATCTGCTAAGCACATGCCAATGCTGTGAGGAAAATACATGAAATTAAGAAGGTATCATTGAGTTAATAAGGTTTGTCAAGTTCAGATATCGCTAGAAATGTTGATGTCCATCTAAACACATGCAATTATTTTAAATCTATGCATCGCAAGCTAGTCGTAAGGAGTTCAAAATCTCAATAAGTTGTTTGACTCTAACTAGTGAGACAACAAATGCCAATGAAATGACCTAATATTTAGACTTCTTCATCTTGATTAAGTATTATCCTAAAAAGTTATTTCAAATTTCAGAAACACTTCTCTAAAATACTTTCTGTGTCAAGCCCATTTCCACAATGTGACGTAGCAGCATAGCAAGATTTCAAAATAGCCACGCGAAATCTGTGTGCAAAGAATAATATTTATAATTGATCATTGCAAAACATAGCTTCATTTTCATTATCTGCTACAAATACAAAAATAAAAAATGCAGCAACACATTTCTCAAATAAACTATAGGAGAAGTAATAAACATGAGTTTAATATCTACTGTCGCCTAAAGACTTTACCAACCACAAAATCGTGATTCATTGTTTCAGTCAGTTTCATCTGCAATGACATTATTCGAACTGATTGAGCAAATATCGCTCAATAGGTAAACTATCTATGCAAATAATGTCAATAATACAATAGTGTGTTTCATACGGTACAGACGAAGAAAACTTTTACCACAATGTAACACCAAAACATTTGACAGATTATGAGCCCCGTCCATTCTTTCTATCTACAGGCAAAAGCATCCGATGAAAAGCACTTCCAGTTTCCGAAAAGCAATTTATTCGAAGGAGTTCAGGGAAGATTTAACTAATTACTAAAATAAGTCAATCTATTGCTACATTCTTTTCTTGCTTACTTCTAATATAGTGTAAGCGTGTAAATCCTTCAGAATGTAGCTCGTGCCCCTTTAAGTATCCAACAAATGTATTCTGACAGTTCGGTATAATCTCAAAGTAGTATTGTACACTAGCGTTCTGCAGTGATTTATCATTTTCAAAGATTATTTTAGAACTTTTGACCCTATTCATCTATAGTAATTTTTTCAAAAATCATCGCATCAAATACACCTTCTCTCTCACAAAACATCACATTAAATACCAATTTTTTACTATTCCTAAATTTTTTCAAAACTCCAAAACTCTTCCAAACGGAACCATACTTGTCATATTCTTTCCTTCCCTGCAATTATTCTCACCAATGCTCTGGTTAGATACACATCTATTTCTCGAAAAATCCACATATTGCCTAATATAGGCTTTTGTTTCAACATCCTTATTGTATCAATCTACAGAAGAAAACAAAAGATGCACTGCCGAAACTCTATACAAATCATTCGATCAAACAACTATTTTCAGCCCAAAAAATTCAAGTCCAAAACATAGAAGACATGTCAAAACACAAGTAAACGCATACAATATCCTGCCAGATTGTCCTCAACTATGTAGCAGCAAATATGAATCTGTAATCAAATAAGTGCAACATTCCTTAAACTTAACATCACCATATGATAAATTAAAGACTAAAAGATAAACAAATAAAGCTTCAAAATCCATCAGAAACCAGAGAAATTTAGAACTTAAAGGAAGGTATATGTTGCTCACAAGGACAGGTTTCACATCGGCAACACAGAGAGAAATCTTCCTCTTCTCTACCATCATCCTTGGAAGGATCATCAGTAGCCCTGCATCGGCAACTTTTCAGCACTTTCTTGAGACGTTTGTACTCCACATTGCACAATTTCTCCATTAGCTTCCCTTGATTCGTCTCCAGATACTCCGTAAAAGTTTCCCCAAACTTCATTCTTGATCGTCCCTCCCGAACCCCTAAAATTCACAATTTACTGTAACCTCGTTTGTAAAACCTAAAACTTAGAAATAGAAACGGTCTTGCCGAGGGCTCTGAGTTCGGTTTTCCTTGATTCCGATCGGCAATGGCGAGATTTTACCGGAGAAGAATTACGGCGGCGGCAGCTACAAATTCAATATTAACCGACTGCATGCAACGCGCTTTGTACAAGAAATCTCTTCTCTTTCCCGTCTTTTCTATCTTCTGTTTTCTTTTAACGGATTGAAAATTTCTTATTTTAACCAAAAAGATATTTATCCAAAACGTGAATTTAAATTAAAATAAATATTTAATCATTATATAATAATATTTGTCTTAAATTATCATTGGGAAACTTTTATAAGTAGTATTTAATAAAGTGGATATTAATGTAATTAAATGCCATATTTAATATGATAAAATAGATTTGGTCTAAACTTATGTTTGTATTTCTAAACCAATTTAGTATATATTTTTACATATTATAACATATATATTGCGTTATAAATATATTTTATTATACTTTTTCTATTTATATATATTTTTATTTTAAATTATCTAATTACAAAATAATTATTTCAGAAATATATTATATATTTTTACAATTATTTTTACTTTATTATCACATCTTACTTTTCATATTAAAAAAAACAAGAGTAAAATTATTTTATATTATTTTTTATTATTTATTATAGTTAATATATTATTATTTATTATTTTTATTCAATTTTAAAGATTTTATTTATTTTTTCGATTTATTTTTTAATATTAATTTTTATATCAAAATATAATATAAATTAAAAAAAAATTACAAAAATATTTTCATTGGTGTCTTATAATACTAATATAATATCTATAAAAAAAATTATATATATATAAAAATATTTTTAATATTAAATAAAATAAAATAAAAGATAAATATAATTTTTAGAGTCGAAAAAAATATTAAATTTCATGCCAAAAAATAAATATATATTTTCAAATTAGACAAAGATAGTATATAATATTGTTAGTATACTTTTAATTGTATTTAGTCGAATCAATATCGGCCCAATCTAAAATCATTACAGAAACAAACCAGTTTTACATTAAAACTATTTTTAAAATACAAGTTAAAAAAATATATATATCAATTAAATAAACCCAAAAAGTAATAATAATAACTACTACTCCCTCCGTCCTTGGAAAGGTGGCGTTTATTTTTTGTACGTAAATTTTTTAATATTAGTATTATATTGGATTGTAGTAAAAAAGACAAAAATACTTATATTAGTATGGTGTAATATAAAAGTAATGACATTTGTGAAATATATTGTAAGTTGAAAGGATATTTATTATGTTAAATAGGTAGTACAAGTACTAAAGTAACTTTGTTTTGGGGATAGACGAAAATGAAAAATTGTAATATTTGAATGGGATAGAGGAAATTTCTTTTGAAAATCATTTTACTTTTTTCATTATACAATCTCTTACAATTTTTTATAAAAGTAAAATATTTCATATACAAATTACTATTTAAAAAACAGAATAAAATTACTAAAACAAAGTTGATTTGTTTGTTTATGATTATAAATTAATATTGAGACAAATTATTTTGTATGATTTTCAATAAAAATATACTATTTTTTTTATAAAAATAATATTTAAACCAAATATCAAGTTAAATTCTTAAACTCAAATCAAAAGTTCAAAACCAAACACACCCACTTATATTGAATTATAAGATCAATTTTAATGAAATTAAACTAAGGCTATGCTTTTCTTTTTTTTATTATTTTTTTTTATTTTTTTGAGTTTTTGAACTTATTAAAAGTGATAAAAAAAAAATCAAATATTTGATGTAAAGTATTGTGAGATAAAAATATATATACGTATAATTTTTAAAATATTACATAAATTATATTCTCCTATATTTCCATAATATAATCAAATTGATTGAGATAATATATAGAAATGTTTAAAAATAATTTCCTAATATTAATGTATATTATTTATTTGGTTGTTGTTTGAAATTAATTTAAATTTTTAAGTAATATTTTAATATAATATTTTATAAAAAATAATATTAATGTATATTATTTTTATATGTTATTAAATATTATATAAGATTTTCATTATATTCTTATTATTCATAAATTTTTTTCTTAGAGATGGTCAAACAAAAAAGATCTAATTTTTTTTAATATTATATTAAAAAATATATCAATATTTATTTATATCATATTAAATAATTAATTAAATTAAATATTTTATTATTTAAAATTCAAATCTAAAAATCAAATCTATTATGCGATGTGTCACTTATAGTTTTTTTTTTTTTCCTTTCTAGATTTATATATACATATATATTTATTCAAATAATTATTAAATACAACATTTTTTAAAAAAATGATGAATGTGTTATTTTAGAAAAATAATACAGTATATTATAAGATTTATTTTTTAAAAAATAAATACACAAATTTAGTTATACATATTAATTTTATTTTAGTTATGTGAAGTTGTATTCGAATATATTATTATTACAATTTTTTTTTTCAATTTTTCTAGGATTCAAGTTAAATCGGTGAATTAAACTTAGTTAGTTAAGCTCCAATTCAAGTTTGAGCTCAAGTTTAGGTCGAACTTTATATATTATATATTTTTTTAATGTATAAATTAAATATATTCAATTATATTCAACTTGTTATTAAAAAAAAATATTCAAAATTTATTAATTAATATAATATTTCATATAAAAAATATACTTCATTTCTTCGGGATAATTATGTCATTTTGTAGTTTATTTTTGTTTTGTTCACTTTGATATTATTTTTTATTTATTGAACCTTCAATTTTTATCATTTTATTTATAAAATTACACTGCTTCGGTCTATCAAACTTATATATATATATTTTTTTAAAAAAAGATATATAAATTTTAATTATAGCAAATAATAAATCACCAAATAATTATGGGCTTTTTTTTTTTAGGTTTGTATTTAATATGACAAACATAAAAATATTAAAAACTGATAAAAACCTTTTTTGTTAATCATTATTGCATATTAAGAATCTTTGATGAGTGTTCTCATAAGACAACATGCTCTTCCCACTCACATTTGCATCTAATCTTACTATTCCATTATAAATATTTAATTTTTATTTTAATAGTCATTTTATATGTAGTTTTGAATTTATTATTTTTAATTAAACAAATAGAACTAAATATACTATTTTATACATAATGTAAATTTTGAAAACAAAATACTACTAGTATAAAAACAACATAAAAAATATAAAGAGAAGCCGCCACCACCAACACATAAATAAGATTCTTATTCATATGCTAAAGGCAATCAATAAAAGTATATATATATATACTTTTATTATTTATTTTTATTAAAATTAATGTTCAAATATTTAAGCATATATTTGAATAATTTCATTCAATACTTAAGCACATATGAAATAGTATTTATATTATATTAATATATAGTATTTGGATAATTTATTAATTCATTCAATATTGTAACTGTCTCCATTTGTGTACAAAAAGTGTTCAAATTTTATTTATTTATATAATTTTTTATTCCAAAAAAAGTTAAATAAAAAGTGGAGTGTATATTTAAAATCCATTTGCAGCCATACACTTTGCCATCTTTGGAACTTTGTCTTTCATTTCCCTTTCCGCTAAAAGCTTTCTTACAATCTTTTCCATCCACAATCACATACAAATGCCTTTTTCTCTCTATCTTCTGCAATTATTTATTACTATTCAAATCAACCCACCCATTATTATAAATAAATTATGTCATATTATCTTATTTTTCGAGAGTATCTATTTAAATTTTTATAATATATTAAAAAATAATAATATTTTATTAGTTAATAAAAATATTAATTTTAATATATATATTTTACTTTCTATTTATGATATGTTTGTAATGTATGTAAAAATTAATTTTTTTGTACTATTAATATATAATTATTTTCATTATAATAAAAATAAATACTATATTCGTCCACTTACAATGTTATATATTTAATTTTTGCATGTTGATATTTGAATATTAATTATTATATCTTAAAAGGTAGTACAAATAAATAATAAATGATAAAAAAACTTCTATTAGTGTCTTATAATACAAATATAATGACATTTGTATAAAAAAGTTATAAATATAAGGATATTTTTAATATTAAGTACAATGAAGTAAAAAATAAATATAAACTTATTAAATGGACTGGAAAAATACTTTTTAGTGGAATAAATAAAAATAGTAAAAATGCACTTAGTTGGGACATATGGAATATTAAATACTTCATTCGTTACCCAAATTTACTTATATTTTTATTTTTTATTTGTCCCGTAAATTTACCTTACCATTAATTTTGACAAAATAAAATTTTTTATATTTAAATATTATCATTCATTTAATATTTATTTAGGGTATGTTCATTTGTAGGGTTTAGACAAGATTCTATTATTCATCCAAAATTTTTCTCCCAAAAACATCAAATCAAACACCTATTTTTCATTTTTTATATTATATTAAAAATCAATTTTACATTTAAAACATCGCATCAGCACCTATTTATATCACATCATACAACTATTCAAATTCAAAATTTTTTACTATTCAAATCCCAACTCAAAATCCAAAGCTCCAAACAAACACACCCTTACTATAATTGTCACTTATTTTTATTATATATATATTTTTTGTTTCATTCGCTTTAATTACTAATTAAATTTTAAATATATTTTTAATTAATTTTTTTTTTTTAAAAGTACTTATATTTATTAATTTCCGTGAACTCCAATAGGAGTGAGTGTTTATTGTAGACTCTATTCTTTTTATTTATACCCAATCGTTATCCGAAAGTACACATTAGGAGTTTTGAATTCATAACCTCACGGTCACATGCCTAATCTCACACTATCAGGTCATTCCTTAAGGGAGTATTTACTTTTTCTTTTAATTATTATTATTGATAATCTATGTGGTTATCAAATTAATAAGGGCGCGTTTACTTATTGGTTTGTGATTTTGATTTTAAATAGTAAAATTTTGAATTAAAATAGTTGTTTGATATGATATAAATATGTGTTAATTTATAGCTAATTTTCTTTAGAAAAATAAAGAGTTTTACATATTAATAAAATATTCATTTAATGAGGAGAGATAAAAATAAAAGAGTTTTGAATGAGTTTTATGTGTAAGAAATTTAAAAAATTGTGGATGACATAGAGTATAAGTAATCATTTTAATACTCTATTTTTTTTTCCATAAATATTTATACTTTACTATTATATTGATACTTTTACACAAAAAAAATAAAAGTAAATTTTTATTTTTTTTACAATGTATTGTTAGTATTGTGCTGGTTTATTTAATTTATTACCATAACTACCTTCTTCTTTAATGTCGCAAAATGTAAATGAGATCCTTAAAGTCGGGCCGAGGAGTACATTTTTTTTTACGCAAATATTATTCACATCTCATATTTTTCTAATAAAAATGTACTCGGTCTCATTTACATTTTGTGTCATTATATTTAACATTAAAAATATTTTTATATTTGTATAATTTTTTTGCACAAATGTTATTATAATAGTAATAAGATACTAACAAAAATATTTTCGTCATTTTTCCTTAATTTGTATTACGTTTTTATATAATAATAATTAATATTCAAATATCAACATGTAAAAAATAAAATGAAACATTTAAAACCGGATGGAAGTATATTACTTTTATGATAAAATATCATATCAATATATTATTTCAACAAAAATTAAAATCAATCAATCAATTTCAAATTTATTTGAAATTCTTTATCTCTATGTATCATTCATTCCTATTACTATTTATCTTTATCTCTGGTTCAATTCTTATTTTTATTTATTAAAGTATTTCCGTATGTTTGTTTGGCCGGATACGAATCCTCAAAATATTCTTCTCTTTGTCTTAAACAATGTGCAATATTTGTTTTTTGCATGTATTTTTAAGTGAGTGGTATTAAGTATAATAATTTAAAAATTAGGTGACGTGATAGAGAGAGAAATATATATTTTATTTTTTTATTTGGATGATACGGAGGATAAAGTGTAGGGTAGAGATTAAGTATAATTAATTATAAAATATTGTAGGGTATTTGGGAGATAAAAAAAATATTGCAATGTGTTTGAGACGGAGAAAATAATATTTAATACTATGAAAATTAAGTAAACAAAAAATAAAATAGAAATACAAATAGCTTTTTTATTAAAAATTTAATAAATAAAATATAATAATTGATTATTGTATTAAAACAAATACTAATTAAAAAAATAAAATTTTTAATTATAAGTAAATTACGCATAACTTTATTAGATAATAAAAAAATCCTAAAATAATTATTAGAGGATAGAAAAAGTTTGATATCTATTGTACTCCTTCTGAGATAATTCAAAGTATTAGTTTAGTCTATCCCACTTAAAAATACTTTTATTTTCATTAGTTTCATATAATTAGTTTTTTTTTTTTTAAATAAATATAATTATACATTTTCATCATATTTTAAATTTAGTAATTTATAATTTTCTTAACTTAATTAAACTTTTTAGTTATTTTAATTTTAATATATAAATTATAATTATTTGTATTAATATCACAATTATTTTTACTGTTATATTTTTTATTATTTATTAATTATATTTTATCTAAATTTTTAAATTCTCATTCTTGTATCTATCTACTATAGAAATATTTTATGAGAACAAAACAATTGTTTAAAATTTCAAAATAATTTCTAAAAAAAATCTACATTTTTTGAGAACTTTGCAATTTTTGGGCAAAATTTGAAAAAAAATAAATACAGTATTGTTTAAAATTTCAAAATAATTCCGAAAATTTTCCAAATTTCGACTCCAATAGTCTAAAGGCTGTATATTTATGTAATTTGATTTAGGTACTCAGTAGAGTAGAGAGCTTAATCGACAAACAGACAGCCCTCCGGCGACTGTTCTGTACGGAAAAACCCACGGCCGAAATGCCGCCGTCGTGGAAATCCACGCGCACTCTTCTCTTACTCCTAACCCTTTCCCTCTTCGTTCTATACGCCGTCGTCCGCCGCCACCGGCTTCCGCCGCCAAATCACCGGAACGCCGCCTACTACCGGAGCGCGTTCCTATCGACGGCGAGCAACGCCACCGTTGCCGCCTACCTTCGGGCGCTGACCCGCCGCCCCCACCTCGCCGGCACGCCGCTCTCCCTCTCCGCCGCCGTCTATGTCCAATCGCAATTCCGAGCCCAGGGGCTGACCACTCGTATGTCCAATTTCTCCGCCCTCCTGTCTTACCCTAAACACGCATCTGTCGCGGCGCGCTTCCGAAACGGCACCGTTTTGCCCATCCGGCTCGCGGAGCCGAGCGCTCTTCGAAACGGCGTCGTCGCGCCGTACCACGCGTACTCCCCCTCCGGCGCGGCGTACGGCGCGGCGGTGTTTCTGAACTACGGCCGGGAGGAGGACTACACCGCGCTGGCCGCGGCGGGGGCGGAGGTCACCGGCTGCGTGGGGATCGTCCGGCGGGGGGCGGGGATGTCCAGGCACGACGCGGCGGCGAATGCGGCGGCGCACGGCGTCGCCGCCGTGCTAATGTACACCGAGGATGCGTACGAAGAAGGTTTCGAACGGGGAACGGTTATGGAGGGTTTAGGAGATCCGCTCACCCCCGGCTGGGCCGGCATCGACGGCGGCGAGAAGCTCCGCTCCGACGACCCCCGGGTGACCGGGAAATTCCCCGGCGTGCCGTCGCTGCCGCTGTCGAAGGCGGGGGCGGCGACCATACTTTCATCTCTGGAAGGGGCGAGTTCACCCAATGAGTGGAGAAGAATTGGGCGGGTTGGGCCCGGCCCGATCTTCATCAATTTTACATACGAGGTAGTTTTCCAGCACTGTTCGTCTGCAATTTGATGATTAAACTTCCTTTGTCTTCATTGATTACATTTTTCGACCTAATTGCTTATAGAAACAACAAACAAATCCACTTTAGGGTAGGCAAGATTAATTGACGCCATGGTATCTGCAATAGGAGGAAGAAGGCTATTGTCTTAACAACTCCTGTAATGTAGCAATGTATTTGAAACTACAGTTTTGTTACAATTGCAGGGTGAGCTGAAGATGAAACCTATACACAGTGTTTTTGCAGTGATAGAAGGATCTGAAGAACCCGATCGATATGTTCTTCTAGGGAACCATAGAGATGCCTGGACGTACGGCGCCGTCGATCCTAATAGTGGAACTGCCGCTCTACTTGATCTCGGCCGTCGATTTTCTCATCTTCTCAGCTTAGGTTGGATGCCCCGAAGAACGATTGTCCTATGCAGCTGGGACGCCGAGGAGTTTGGTATGGTAGGTAATAATATTCTCTCGAACTCGTGAATGTTTATCGATGTTTCAAGAATTTTGTGTAAATTGTTCCTTACATTATTCAACACAGCTGATTTATGATATGTTTGTTGTATTCTTACATGCCCCTCTCGATTGGATGCTAAAGTTCTTGTACTAAATTATGTTTTGTGGTTTCAGATTGGTTCGACTGAATGGGTTGAGCAAAACATTGTAAATCTTGGCTCTAAAGCGACGGTTTACTTTAATGTGGATTGTGCGGTTCAAGGGCCGGGATTGTTTGTTAGTACAACTCCTCAACTAGACGATGTTTTTGTCGAGGTAACAAAGCAGGTAATGGAAGTGGCTTTAAGATTTTGTTTACGGCTTTAAAATCAAGATAATGATGTGTTTATTTTTTTCGATTCAGGTTAGAGATCCTGATTCCGGAAACATATTATATGAACAATGGACAGCTGCCAATAATGGTGTCAAGGCAAGTTTGTCGCAGATATGTTAACAAGTTTTCGATGCAATAAATTGATTTTTTTTTTAAAAAAATGTAATATTTAAAATAAAGAATTTAATGTGACGATATTTTTGAATTGAAATCAGTTTTCGATTGTTGATTTGCATTGTAATGCAGGATATTGGGAGGCTCAGCCGGGTCGATTCCGATTTTGCTCCATTTTTACATCACGCGGGAGTTCCTTCTATCGATTTATACTACGGAAGTGGTACCTCTCCTCTTTACTAAATTCTGAAGCTTACTCAATTCTTGACGAGTTTTGATTTCGACTAGGTAAAGTTGTAATAAGTTTCCATGTAATATGTTTGATGCAGAATTTCCAGTTTATCACACTGCTTTCGATTCCTACGAATGGATGGTTAAGTTCGGGGATCCCTCGTTTCAGCGACATGTAACAGGTTCGAGATTCTACTCGGAAGCCTGAACAGAAACTCCAGAGATCTGATCTTATTTTGTAGACTTATAACTTTCTCGAGCCTCTTTATATGTTATGTATTTAAATATTTCTTCCCTAACCTGAATTTATTTTTTCTTTCGATATTACGGGGGGTTCAGTTGCGGGAATATGGGGCCTCGTTGCACTTCGCCTATCTGATGAACCGGTTCTTCCTTTTAACTATGTCTCTTATGCTGTCGAGTTGCAGGTAATATGTTTATTTCTATTTCCATGAACTCGATTCGGTAATGGCGGGGCAATTGTCGAGAAATATGTCGGGTTGTGTTTGGTTGGATGAATTTGGATTTGGTAGTAAATTTTTTTAAATGAATAGATTTGAATTATCGTTTGATTCGTAGGATATTATGGAGCATTTGAAGTAACATAATGTTAGAATTTGAATGTTAACGGTAGATTTTCACTAGATTTTCACGCCGTAATTTGAAAGTCATTAAGCTCGAATCTATTGAACAAACATTGGTTAGTACATTGTTAGGACATCTAAGGTAGTATTGGCTAAGCTTGTTTTATGGTTGGTTAGAAAATTTTGACTGTTTGGGTGTATTTTGGAAGTGTTTTGTAATTTGGGTTGGTTCGATAATAGTAAAGATTGTAATTTTTGTTTATGTCAATAATACAAATATAACATATATTACTAGAGTAACCGACGCCGGTAATTTTGCATGATCATATTCTGGTTGGATGAGATACCTATTTTAGTATAAACCTAAGGGATGATTCATGTCCTAATGGTTTTTGTCCGTCTGACATTCGCTGTTTAAATATGTGTTCGATACAGGAGTATAATAGGATCCTCGAAACCATGCTGAAAGGTACCGTCTCATTGAACCCGATTTCCGCTGCTATTCAAGAATTCACCGCTGCAGCGCACGAAACCGAGGAAGAAGCAAAGGTTAGAAGAAATCCTGTCTGAAAATTGGACATTTTCAAATCGACTAATCGAACAGGTAACCTGACATAAATTCGTAACTGTAGAAACTGAGGGCAGATCCGGGCACCGACGAAATAACGGTACTAAAGAAACGAATGCTGAACGATCGACTAATGGTGGCTGAACGGGGCTTCTTGGATCCCGAGGGGCTCCCGACTCGGCAATGGTTCAAGCATCTCGTAAGGACGTTCTCGACAGACATTTTTTTCGACTGTTAGTACCGATGATTGAGATTCAGACAATGTGTGCAGATATATGGACCGGTTGGGAATTCGGACAACAAGATCGATTTCTTCCCCGGAGTAGCGAATGCAATGATCGGACAAGGGAAGGACGACGCAGTGGCGGCGATCGAGCATGAGATATGGAGGGTGGCGAGGGGTATTGAAAGAGCAGCCTGTGGTTTGAGAGGTGACTTCTCCTGCCGTTAGAACTTCTTCTTCTTCCTCTTGCTGGGCAATCAATGACACACTCTGCTAATATACGTACACATATCTGTATATCTATATATATAATATGTATATATGTATGTGTATACATATGTACAGGAATCTGCAAGTAGCTGTGCCGATGCTGATATTTTGCTAACATGACAATGAACAACAAAGATTTTAGTAGTGTAATTTTATTTCTTGTGCGGCTTGGTCAAAAAAAATTGTATATAAAATATAAATCTGTAGGATAAGGTATATGTAATAAAAAAATGAAAATTTTAATTTTCTAAAATTCTCGCGCCAGGTAGGGGTCGAACCTACGACTTTCTGCTTAGGAAACAGACGCTCTATCCACTGAGCTACAAGCGCATTTGAATATTTTTATAGGTTAAATTTTAATATTCTTAAATTTTTCACAATTTTCTATTATAATTATTTTTATAGAAAATATAACTCTTTTAGAGTAAAAATCAAATTTAGAGCCGATCAAACTTTTTTTTTTTTTTTTTTTTTTTTTTTTTTATTTTTGGTCTCATTAACAAATAATTATCAAAATTAATTTCATACAAAAAAAAAATAAATTATCAGTTTTGATCCATATCGTTAAAATTTTAACAAAATAAGTTGTGGCAATAACGGAAGCTACAAGTGATCTGAAACAAATATGACTATGTTATAGTTACCACGACCGTGTTGTTTCAATTAAATATTATATCACCATATTTCTACAAACACCGGCGTTTTTCAAACTGAACACGCTCGTGTTTGGATTGAAACAATCGTTGCAAACTCAGGTACCTGGAAGAGGCTGTTGCTGCATAATAAAGAATGTGACCCCACATTTATTATGATTATATTAAATAATTTACTTATAATATTTATTTTGTAGGATTTGTTTATTTAATGTTTTAATTTAAAATTTTAATTTTCATGTGAAATATATGAAATTGTATTAATAATATAAAAAATTAATATTTAATTGATAAAATTATATTGAAAATCATGTAAAAAAATTGTGAAAACAATTTAATATATTTAGTTATATATACATTAATTTGATGTATTTAGTAATATTTAAAATTAAATATTATTTTTTATGAGCCAAAATTATTTAACTTTTATTTTTATTTTGTGTATAAAAATATTATACTATCGGATGATTTATTATTATTATTATTATTAATTTATTAATTTTACAACCTCTTATTTCTTTTTTATTTCTATCTATCTCTCTAATTAATAAAATTTATGTCTACATTTGTTTATAAAATTGATTTATAATAATGATAAATAAATGAATATATATTATTTTTTTGTATTATATAAAATTTTGATTATGTCCTAGGTGTAAGGTGTCAAAATCTAGTTAAATTAATCTATATTTATTAAATATGAGTCAAAAAAAAAAAAAAAAAAAATCTTATGAGAGTATAATATTTTCAGAAAAAAAATAAAAATAATATTACATATGTCTCCCTTAATTCGTCAATTCTTTTCATATTCGTCCGTCTCACATAAACTATTTTTTTTAAAAAAATATAATTATACATTTTAATCATATTTTAAAATTTATAATTCATAATTTTTTTATTTTAATTATAACTATTTAATTATTTTAATTTTAATCTATAATTATTTTTATTATATCATAATTATTTTTATCAATACACTTCTTAATTATTTACTAATTACATAGTATCTAAAACTTTGTGGTCCAAGCAATGTGAACAAATTAATTTGGACAAATGAAGTATAATTTTGGCGCATAAAAAAATAAAATTTAATTTTAAATATTATTGAGTGTTTGTTTGGGGATTGGATTTTAAATACACTATTCATCCCATTTTTTACCGTAAAAAAATCAAATCAAACATTTATTTTTTATTTTGTATATTATACTAAAAATCAATTTTACATTCAAAATATCACATCAACACCTATTTATATCACATCATACAACTATTCAAATTCAAATTTTTTATAATTCAAATTCAAATTTTTTACAATTCAAATTTCAACTCAAAATCCAAACCCCAAGCAAACACACCCAAATTAATGTATATTAAATTAAAAAACAAATCTTATAAATAAATTATTAAATACTCCCTCAGTTCCACCGGAATTGAACACTTTGATTAGGGACACAATATTTAAGGTAAAGATGTTTAATTAGTTAATAATAATTAATTATGATATTAATATATTATTTTTTGTATAATTAATAATATTTATAATTTTAAAGTAAATTTAATTTATATGATTAAAAACTAAAATATATGTTTAAATATTTAAAAATAATATAGCAATTGAAAAATATATGCAACATGAATATTATTTGTAGATAATAAAATCTTCTATAATACAAGTAAATAAAAAAATATTTTTGTTTATTTATAATTGACATAAATTAATTTTATAAAAGATGTGTAATTTTAAATATACATAAAAATATTTACTTTTTAGAAGAAATGTAAAAATAAAGGGATTTTGAGTGGGTTCTACGTCATTTATGATATTGTATATCATGTAGTTAATTAAGTTGATTTATATTTGTTAAATATGTTTTGATTTAATAATTTTTACCAAAAATAAAAAGATGTCAATTGTTACGAGATAGACAAAAATAAAAATAATATCAATTATGATAGGACGAAGGGAGTATAATTCTAATAAATGTGGGGCCACACTCATAATTATAAAGTAGCCTCTTCAGCGCTTGAATTTCCAATGATTGTTTCAATTTGAACGCGGGCGTGCTCAGTTTGGAACACGTCCATGTTGGTAGAAATATAGTAATATATTATTTAATTGAAACAACACTGTCGTGTTAACTATAACATGACCATATTTGTTTCAGTATTACTTGCCATATAAACTTTCTTTATGATCACGTTAGCTTATTCTGTTGAAATTTTAATTATTTTTTAATGAGACCAAAAATAAAAAAATAAATTTAATTGAGACCAAATTTGATTTTTACTCTCTCTTTTATATAGTATTTTTTAATGTAATAGTTTGAAATTGAAATTGAGATTGAGATTTTAATTTTACTTTCAATTTAATAATATTTTAATATAGTGTTTCGTTAAAAGAAAAAATATATTTAAAAAAAATCTAATTATGTAAATTAAATAATTGTAATCTTAATGTGCATAAATGCGAAATGAATACAAATATCTTTTAAGTTATATTCTTTAGTTTTAAACTTTTATGGTTGGTTCTATATTTCAATTGCAATAATTTAAAACTTTTGCATCTTTCTTTCCTTTATATTCATATGTGTATATATATATATATATTATAAAAAATTATTTCAGAATTAATGTTCGGAGATGGAGAGAGTATTATCCAAAACAAAAACAGGGATATTTCATTTAATTCACTGTTTTAAATTTAAACTTTTTAATAAAGGCTGTTGAAACGAAATGATTCAGCGGGTTTTGAGTAATAAATGCGTCTCTGTAACTTCTCTTCTTTTCTCTCTGCATTTTTCAGTCTTTTTCATATTCACCGCCTAAAAATGCTTCCGCCAGAAGGATAAATCAGTAGCCGGAGTTCTCTTGCTCAGTTGCCGCTCGTTTTCGCGTAGAAAACTCAGCGGCGGCAGGAGAAGGCGGAGCTGTTGGCGGTGATTAATTCAATTTCGAGAATCGACACCGCTGGATTGTCGATTAAATTTGGGATTTTAAGATGCAGAAACTTCAGGTAGTTACTCGCGTTGTTATATTTTTTTGTGTTTGGCGCTTACAATTAGATACGATTTCGATGCACATAGATTCCTCCATGAGGAGAATCGGGGAAGTTTTGGAACTGGAAAAAATATATATAGGTTTTCCTTTTCTTGATTGGATTCCAGTTTTTGCTTCACGACATAGAATCTATCAGGAAATTATAATGCATTTCGCAGTCTCGTTTGATGTTACTTAGCTAATCTATTGTCGTGTATACGAATTCATCAAAGTTTGAAATTAGTCAATCGAGGAGACAATCAAATTCACTATTTGATTTCGTTTGACTTTGCTTCTGAAATGATTAGTGTTGTTTCAAGATAGAGACATTTATGCATCTTTATTTTCCGTTTTATTACTTGTAATTGTTTCTTTTCCTATTACCATTAGATAAAGTATTTGTCATAGCTTATTAGAATTCTAGAACAATGGTTTCAAGACCATATCATCTAAAAACTTAAAAACTAAAAACTTAAACTAGCAAGGAAATGTATCCTGAATTAAGTATTTATGGTCATTTAACATGGTATCATATCGGGATGTTGTTGTTCTAGTCCCATCGCCCTCCCTCGTGAAAAATTGTCACCATAAAAGGCTTGTCTTTCATAAATCCACCTTGCACATAAGTGTATTGGAATGAGACAGTCATTCAATACTTATTTTTAATATTAGGGTACAAGTATTCATAAAAAGATATGATCATAGCTTGTTGGAGTTAATTAAATTTTCTGCCACTAAAGGTGAACTAGTAAATTCTCCCGCATCATATATCCACACCACGCCACTCTTTAGATACCAGCAATAATCAGGGCATCGTTTAGTCAACCATGTTATCCTTAATTGATAGTTGCTGCAAAAATGTACACGTGGAGTCAACGTGTGGGATATAACTCGCATCGATGAAAAGGAACAATTGCTATTTAGGTAATCTTTAGGTTAATACTCTTACAACATGTTTACTTATAGATGATTAATTAAACTTCGTGTCTAAATTACAATATGAAGAATGATTAATCAACCGTAGTAAACATGCTCTTAGGGTAGCCTATGTTATTGGATTATAGAATTACTTTGTAGGATTACATAATACTAAGATAAGTATAACATAATTTACAATTAATTATTTTTCATCGATAACTTTCTACATGAAGACTAATTAATCAACCATTCTAAGCCTGCTCTTAGGGTGCGTGGGGTGCGTGTACTTTATTGGATTATATAATTACTTTGTAAGATTACATATAATTTTGTTTTGGGATCCGGTAAGTCCACCCTAGCTCGATTCAGTTTACTACACTTATGAGTTAATGAGATAAGTCTTTATTTGGAATATAGTTATTATATCATATAAACTAAATATTCTCTTAACTGGACTTTTTGTACATATGTGGAAATGTTATAGGATAGAAATAATTAAATTCAAGCTAAGTTGATGTTGAAGCAAGGCTTCATGTCTCAAAGTTATATCATTCCTCTTGCTAACAATATGTGTCTACTGAGCATTAGAAGTAATTTAGAAATTTTGTACCTCTAATTTGGTGCGAAGGTTTGAATTAATTGAAAATGAGATAACTGTGACTTGAATAAACACAAATAATACATGGTCAACGAAGAATCTTTGACAAGCAGACAAATTTAGGTATACAAATCGAATGCTAATGCAATGATTCAATACCATTAAATCTATGAACAAATTATTACGAGAATTCTAGAGAAAATCAAATGTTTTTGTGGTTTTAATTTTCTAAGGTCTTACAAATAATATTTGAAATTTTGGAATCAGTAAAAATATCCCTTAATGACCCTACAAATCAATCACTCTGACCCCATATAAATTTGGGTTAGCAATTAACAACTCAACCACTGACCTCCTGAGGAATCACTGTTATGCTTCTATATTATCTAGTGACCATTATTCACTGTGCTGGCCAATGACATTTTAGCATTTGATGAAAACTCAATTTGGATTTCTCTTATATTGACGTTGTATTTCAATTGTCACGCTGTAGATTCATAATAAAGAAGGAATCAATGCAGAGAAACCAAATGTTGGTGAGGAAGCAAGACTGCCAATGCAAACAGAGTCTAATACCAGAAAGGGAAATCAGATGCGGCAGAAATTTAAAGTGAGTGGTTTGCGATTAATTCGAAAGTGTGTGGTGCTTGATGTAGCTTCTTACTTACGTATCTACCTTGTAATGATTTAGCGTCCTCCAAGGTATTTTCAATGCCAAGCATGTGATGGGAAGATCAACAAACGCAAGAAACGTAAATCTAAGAAGCAAAGAGCATGCTACATTTGTGGTCGTATTGGACACAAAGGAAATCAATGCAAACAGGTGTGTCCGATGCTTCAAACTTTTTGGTTTTTGTAGTTTCCTATAATCATATTATTTCATTTAATCGTCACATGCTGTAAATGCTTGGGTTTGATAGAAATATACTGCTCATACATGAAGGAAAGTCTTTTGATAGACAAAATAAGTTTCCATCGATGATATAAGTTGTCCTTGAAATGGAAACTGTCAATTAATTGATTCTCTATCTGTTGTAGAAGGTTTTTATAACTAAAAAGTTGTCCTTGCAACTATGATTCTTGCCACTTTTCCTTCATTCTCTCTTCGCTGACACTCGGCAGGTGAACGGTTGCTTCATATGTAATAAAAAGGGACACTTGGCCATAGATTGTCCGTACAGAAATGCCGGAACAGGCCGTGCTTTGCAATTTTGTTTAGTATGTGGAGGTTCTGGCCACAACATGTTCTCTTGTACCAATGATTATGATTCCAAAGATCTCGAGGTACCCGTACAGAATCTCATCTCCAATAGTCTATTAGTTTTGCAAGCTATACTCCCTCTGCTTTATAGAAGTATTATCTATTCGACCATTTTATTTAATTTATCAAAAGTGTATTCATACTATATTTAATAAAAAACGTACAAATCTTATTTATTGTACTCATACTTTATAGTGTGATTAGATACTTTTGGAATTTTGAAAAGTTTCGGTAATAATAAAAAGATTGAATAAAGAATAAGTATTTAATGTGATGCTTTGTATAGAAAATAGATATTGAATGCAATATGTTTTAGACCGTTTGAGTAGTGACGAAAACACTTTTGAAAATTAAGGGCTATATGATGTGAAAGGTTTATAACATAATGAATCTGTTTCTTATTTTCATAAAGTTTATTTTGCCGCAGGCTATTGAATGCTACGTTTGCGGAAAAGCCGGTCATCTTTGTTGCATTGACAACAAAACCGAACGGCTAATAAAAGCCACTTGTTACGGATGCGGACAGCCCGGCCATTTTGGTTGGGTAAGAATCTAACACTGGTTTGTGCATTAAAAAAAAATATATGCAGCAGCAGAACTTACACTTTTGATGAATTCAATTCTTTGCATTTCTGAGTAGAACTGCCCACAAGTGAAAGATGTTTCCAATAATTCGCTGCGCCCGAAGATTAAAGTGAACGGTTTTATCAATAAATCGTCAATTAGAGTGAGTGATCGTTTCCATCAACCAAAAGTGAATGGTTTTGTCAATAATCCATTGCGCCCGAAGATTGAAGTGAGCGCTTGTTCTCAACAGCTATGCGTAGAGGTTCTTGAACTTCAGTCGATCGGATTTTTCTTCAATGCCATCTAGTGTAATCACAAAGCTATGCAACTGATGCTGCTCTTTTTTTTTTTTTTTTTTTGTAATGTTTTCTCATAGGCAATATCCATAGATAAAGACGAAGTTGGAGCTAAACCTAAGAAGATGGAGATGTTGTGCAGAGATCCTAACAGGAACGAATTTATGCCTGCTTCTGGAACTAATCTTGGTCGTTCTCGAGTAAACAGCCGGTGGGGGCCACCAATTGTCGTCGCCGGCCCATATAATCATGGTGAAGCTGCAAGACATCCTCATGCAGGTCTTATTCCGTCGTATCCTCCGGCTCCCCTTTATTATCCTCAAAATGGTGGCCCGATCCATCGAATGATGACTCCTCAACACCCTTACCCTCAACCATATGAGAATGGTAGTCTTAGCAATCGGCGTGCAACGTTCTTCCCCGGAACTACAGGTCAAATTCGTTATCCCGCCGGAGGAGTTCTTCCTCATCAAATAATGGGTCCTCCTCTTCTGCCAACACAGAACCATCTTCCTCCGGTATACCCAAATTGGAGGAGTTGGAATTGATTTATTGTATTTGTGCAACAGCCAACAGGTAACTATTTCTAACAGAATTTTTGTGTTTAATTTGTTTATACATTTGAGATTATGTACTGATCAGCACAACATAAGAATATATATATGAAATGAACAAATCAGGTTGTTGGATTCTCACTTTGATATTTAGATTTGACATAAATTATGGATATGTGTAGTATGTATATATTCCCTTAAATTCAATGTTTGGCTTTAATTGTAACAGTTGTATCTACAACACTTGGTGATTGAGGATTATGACTGACTTCCTATCATCTATCTGTTTCACTATCTATGCATCGTCTTTAAGGCAGGCTCTTCTTCTTATTTGCATTTTGATAGCTGTCAACTTGTTAATTTGTTATTTTTAGTGTTTTGGATTTATTATTATATAGTTATTTAATGTAAATAAGTTGTGAATCTAAGATTTACATAGAAGATATATACTGTATTGAATTTAAAATAGAATGTTGGGAGGAAAAAAAAATTGCTTTGTATATTTTATAATGCACAAATAATTTTAAAAATGCACACTAATTTTGTTATTGTCTGAGAGCAACGAAGAGGGAAAATTATATTCTATTCTAGTTTGAAATTGATTTAATATAAAGTATTGGTTTTTATTATTATTTAAATAATATTTTGATATAATATTTTTAAAAATTAATCTACTATTAAAAATTAAATAAGTAATTATTTTGTTTTAAATCACGATCAAACACACAAAAGGGCAGATGCAAGCAAGTTTGTCTCTTTAGGGTGATTCTGAAAAAATTTTTATTTGAATTTAGTATAAAAATAATGTTTAATAAGATATTTTATGAAAAAAAAAAATGTATTTTCTGTAAACAAAATTGCAGAATTTTAATAGTAGAATTTGAAAAATTTTGGCAAAAGTAACACATGCATGCAAGGGCTTTCTTATATTTACATCTCCCCTCCTACTATTTATTAAATCCCTCACGTAACATAACATCACATCCTCTCGCTTCCATGGAACCAAACATACCATTATAGAATTCGCCCTTCTTTATCAATGAATGTTGATGAGGGGATGTGTTATTGTGTTGAAGTCAATAAAAAAGCTTATTTATTACTCCATTAAATTAAACATGTTCATAAATTCTAAACTCTATATATTTATAAAATATTTATAAAAGAACTTCAATTTAATCCTGAGAGCGCATTGGTCGCGCGACTGCTAGTTCCCATATAATAATAATAATAATAAAAAACTTCAAGTAGAAGTATTCAATAAATATATTAATATTAATTAAAATATTGTTTTATTAGTTCTATATATCAAATTAGAATAGACTACTATTTTTAATTTGATTCAGAAATGTGTTCGATATGAAATATTCAAACTGTATACTGAACCCTAGAGGACCAGGAAGAAACCGGAGAGAAATTTTTTTTTATTTTTTATTTTTTTATTTTTATTTTTAAATAAACAAAAATATTTAAAAGCCATACAACAAACACAAACTAACAAATAAATGTAGATTATAAAGGACATATTCTAGATAATATTGTTAATTTTCTAAGCAATTGAGCAACTAATAATGTTCTTTTTTTTTTTTCCCTAAAAACACATATTTTCATTAAGATATTGCATTAAAATGTTTTTTTTTTTATTTAAAATATTACATAAAAAGAATAGTCTCGCCTAAACTTAAAATTTTCAAAATTATTATTCAAAAAATACTATATATAGTCACATTCATGATGAATTATCACTCAAACATACTAATGTACAACTCATTTATTATATTCTATGCTATATATTACGGTCAGAGTCCGTATACTTAGAATATCGAGATGATATCAACTCTCGTTGGAAAGAATGTTAGAACTTTAATTTATAGAAATGAAGGATTAGTCGACTTAACACTAATTAGTTTTAAATTGGAATCCGAATCCATTGTTAACATAATTCTACCACAACCTCTTAACTTTCTATTTCCTGTAAACTTAAAATATTCATCTTCCAGCTGTTAGGTCATTTTGTCCTCTTCTATTTCTCTAAAAGTTCTTAAATACTCTTAACCTTAAAAAGCCACTTCAAACTAACAAGAAATATAATATTATACCATATGGTTACATCTCACATCAAATAAAGAATAAACTAATTCCTTCCCATAATCATTGACTCATTCTTTGATATCTAAATTATTAGTTTGTTAACTTAGCTGTCCACATTACCCTATTTCAATACTCCCAAAATTCAACCAATTTCAGACACAGATACATACATATGAGTAACCAATGAAGCATAATATCACAATATAATAGTAAAACTAAAGATTATAGCATGATTATACTATTCTATTTATGTATACTGAAAAAACTCAGTCATCTTCGGTTGAGACATCAATTTCAACTAGAAATGTAGCTTTCAAGAAGACTTGCAGAGTTAGGGAAGATGCAAATTATTAACACAATTTTGGTTCAAAAGCATAATTGCCAAAACCCAATCTGTTAAAGCCACAGAAAGGTAGAAAAATCGAAAGTGCAAGTTTATGAAATTTGCTTACCACAGAGAAGTTTTGCTCCAAAGACATGGCAGCAGGTTGGTTTGTCTCTCGAGGATCGAATCGGCTATGCAGAAGCTTTTTCTCCCAGCCAATATTCCTAGCATTTACTAGCTCAGTGTTATTTTTTATCTACATATCAAAGCTTCAAAACCAGCATGCTAAAAATACAGATCCTCAAACAAATGTGAGAACAGCAATACAGCAGTATCATGACAGCAAGCTTTTCATTTCACAAGAACCAAACAATGGAAAAGAGAAAAGAATTATTAACCTTCATGAGTCGATAGAAGAAGGCGAAACCTCTTCCTCCTTGAATGGCAGTCTCGGCAGACAGCATAAGCCTAAGGAAAAGGCTGAAACGGGCTCGACTGGTAAGAATATATTTCATTCCTGTGATCCTGGATCAGGCAAATGGTTAGAATCACACATCGTGTGTCTGTTGTCTCTATTTGGTTACAGGCTACGACAACAACAAGTTCAAAGATGTTTTCCACGACAGGGATCTCTTTAGAAACGAGTATGACGGCATGAACAGAAGCTTAAAGATATATGTGTATCCCCACGAGACAAATGACACATTTGCTAACATATTGCTGCCGGTAGACGCTGAGCCACAGGGAAACTATGCGAGCGAGAGCTACTTCAAGAAATCCCTCTTCAGGAGTCATTTTCTTACAAACAACGCCTTGGAAGCAGACCTTTTCTATCTGCCCTTTTCCATTGCTGGCTTGAGGAATGACAAGAGAGTCGGGGTCGGAAGGATTCAGGATTTCATCAAGAGCTACATTCGACACGTCAGTCAGAACTACCCTTACTGGAATAGGACTGGTGGAGCTGATCACTTCTATGTTGCTTGTCATTCTGTTGGAAGATCGGCAATGGAGAAAGCAATAGAAGTTAGACTAAATGCAATCCAAGTAGTATGTTCTTCAAGCTATTTTGTGTCCACCTATGTTGCTCACAAGGATGCATCTATCCCGCAGATTTGGCCTAGGAATGGGAAACGTCCGATGCGATTGCCATCAGAGAGGTAACCAATCTATATAGTTAGTAGTACTAAAATAACTTTTCTTGGGGATTTTTAGCATTAGCTCGATGAATTAGTTCAACGACTATTTAATTTAAATGGTTAAGTTAGTATGACAGATGTGCATATCTAATGCAGACATTCAAATTTGCAAGAAAGTTAAGAATGATAGAAGGATATATCATTTTATTTCATTCATGCAATTATAACTCCAAAGAACTAACAATTATCCCGTCAAACAAACTGCAGAAAGAAGCTCGTTTTCTATGCAGGAGCAATGAACTCACGAGTTCGTGAATTCCTAGTAAGGGTTTGGAAGAACGACAACGATGTATCCGTTCATCAGAGGCGTCTTAAAACACCATATTCAGAAGCCCTTTTGGGGAGCAAGTACTGCATACATGCCAAAGGCTTTGAAGTAAACACAGCACGTATAGCAGATGCTCTGTACTATGGTTGTGTGCCTGTGGTTTTAGCAGATCACTATGATCTCCCTTACACAGACATTTTGAATTGGGACAGCTTCTCTGTTGTTGTCTCAACAGAGGATATCCCTATGCTCAAGAAAATTCTTCAAGGAATCAGTTACGGAGATTACTTGAAATTACAGAGGAATGTGATGAGAGTGCAGAAACATTTTCAGTGGCATCAATTTCCACTAGACTTTGATGCTTTCTATATGGTTATGTATGAGTTATGGATCAGAAGAAATCATGTAAGAATATCACTGAATTCTCTCTAGGCATATATTTCTCCTGATTACATTCATTTACTTTATTGAAATTCTTCCTTTCCAATCATATATTTCCTTATTTTTGAAGACACAGACGGTAATTTTTGTTAATGTATAGGGAATAAAAGCCAGTATGTTCATATATATTGCTAAAAGATATCTGATATAACTATATATATATATAGTATAATACACAGAGGGTAATAACTTATAGCTCATCTTAAGTGTATAAGCATTGTTTGTACAGAAGCATAGATTACATACTGTTGTTAAAAACTCAGATCAGAATGAATGAATCAATCAACAGAATTTAACATGATGAAACTTTACAGAAAAGAAAGCAACCTTGTATTGTGTATAGATGTTGAACTAGGCACCATTCTTCTGCTGCCATGGATTTAGGACACCCACGAGGACAATCGCAATGACAATGAGAAGGATGAGAATAGCTATACACATCCATTTCCGGGAGTTCTTTTGCAAACTTTTGGCCCTCTGAAGAGCTTCGTTGGCAGACTGTACATGGTCTACAGCTGAATAAACCTGGATAGTGTACAGAGGGAAGTTGGCAAAAGAGTTATTTGATTCTAGTGATATGGTTGTGATCATTAACGTACCTGTGACTCTATGTTGTTTATCATGTCGCCTTGTGTCTCCACCAGCACAGCTAAGTCGAGAAAGATCTGCATGAGATGATACAATAGAGACATAAGTACTCTTTGTGGCATGCACCGCATGCACCACCAAAGAGTGTGTTTAGTGTTTTAGAGTGATACGATTCCCCAAAACTATTAACAAAAGAATACTACTACAATATATAATATACAATACATACATATAATAATAAAAGTCAACAAAACATCATTCATTTCCTATAATACTTTGATAATTCCTCATACCTTACAACAAAAACATTTGAAACTAAGAACACTAAACAAACACACTCAAAATTTCAGTCCAGTTTTATCAAGGGAACAAAATAAATGATACAGAGTTAGCAAAACAAAGAAGAAAAAGAAAACGGCAGATAAAAGGGCGTGAAATAGAACTATTAGAAAGTTTGTATTTCCATGTCATATCTTATTTAGTATGATTGAATAGTAAATCGATAATTTATTAGTAGGGTAATCAGTGCATTTGGGTAAATCATTTAAAACTATTCTCTTTGTTATTTGTATTCTTTCCTTCCACTGTACATTGAAGATGTAATTGTTTCTCAGGGGATATGAAAATGGAGTAAAATTCTTCTATGTCATATTGTGCACAGCCCATGAAATCTTGATTGAGATGATTATTATAAGATTTCATTGAAGTTTCCAATTTGTTTCTAGGGCACATTTTCCCTGCTAAGCTTCATATGAAAAAGTCAGGCATGCAATGCAAATCTCATCTAAAATTTTGTATTAGGTGTATAATCTCACAAATATTCAGTAAAATGGTTGGGTATTTGGGGTATCAGAAAACTAATTATAATCTGTATTTGCTAACGAGCTTATCAGTTCAGAACCTTACATTGAAGGTCACATGAACGATATTATTATCAAAGAAAACACATGAAAGATATGGGATTATTTCATCTCAACCTTGGGAAACATATTATACTTTCTGATAAACAGGAGCTTAACTTCTAAATCTTATGAATATGATCACCAATCAAGATGGGAAAACCTAATATACCTGCTGCAAATCCAGAAGCCTCTTCTCTAAATCTCTCACTGCTTCATGTCGCTCTTGAATTTCTGCCACGGTGTCCATTATCTGAAATTGAAATGGCGTCATTTACACAGATACTAATATACTATGTGCTACCTAGTGTTTGCACATATTTAGTCTAGTGTTTTGTGTAGCTGACACAAAAATATGTGGCTCTCCAATTAAATTTCTCTTGTCATGTTTCTTCTATATGCCAACAATTTTGCATAAAATACAACAAAGAAGAAGGATTGGAAAATGGAAGAGGATGGGCACGCAAACAAATAGGAGTTTTCAGACACCTGTCCTCAGCCTTGCTGGCAGATTGCATTCTGAAAAATTTGCTCACTGTCCCCAGTCTCTATCAATCTATCAACTGTCTGAAGATGAATTCTTTCAGTAAATGAAAATATGTTAACAAGTATTTAATGAAAATTAAGGACTTCTAGCTTCACTTCTTCATCAGGTCGAGTTCCTGTCACTGTAAATCATGTCAAACTAAAAATGTCAGATTGTTTGTAGACTTTGAAATGAATGTAAAATGGATCCCTTTCCTAGATAAGTATTAATACCTGTAAAAGCACGGCTTTCAACAACTTCCCGATACTCTTGTTGTATGTTCCCTCTAAGAGTCTGCAGGTGTAATTTTCAAGGAAAATTGCAAAATAAGATAAAGAGTAATAGTGAACTACACCTGATGTAACAGTAGCTAATTACCTGAAATTCAGACATCTTATCTTTGAATTTCTTCTTCAAAGCCCTGCATCAGAACATAAACAGTGAAGACTTTAATTACTCTTTTAGTATTTAGTATGTATGTATATATATATATATTACTGATCTATACATCCATGACTATTAAGTAAGAGCTGTCAATTTTATAGAGAGGCTTTAAAGTAGCCCATGAAAATAAATAAGCAATGACTGAAAATATATATATATTTTGGATATAAACAATACTCAAGCCCTAAAGGAATTTATCTATTGAAATGTTATAGTAATGTCAACTTCACATTATAAAAAGAAAAAGAAAAAGAACACGTGAATAATGATAATGAATCAATTACTTTTAAGTGCCATCACACATATGAGATCAAAATAGTTCAATTAGATTTCCCCAACTAGATGAGCTGATTACCTCCATCCAGAAGCTTACAATTTCGCAACGAGATATAGTAAGAAAACGTATGAAATTGTTGATGGAATGCAATCTCCTGCGTTTGAAACTTTTAGGAGGAATGACATTTCACCCAAACTAATATGTTTAAGACAAGGAGTCTGCAGCCAGTTAATCATTTGATCTTACATTGACAAGAAGATATGGATTATCAAGGGAAACAGCCATGCAAAAGCAATATAAAAATCGTAAGAAAATCACACCAGTTCCTAGTTGAAGTTGTAACCAAGTCATGCAACAGGAAGCGTAAATTACACTGTTGTCACTGTTCTTGATCTGTCAACGCCCGACCCTTTTCCGCATCCAGGCTTTTGTCTATTGGCTAAGTTCTATGAAGTAGGGAAAAGGAGAATCTTGATACAATTACCAATCAATATGAGAAAAACTCATTAGGAAATGCAACAGATTCTTCACCTCTTTGTCAAGTTCTTCAATTCTTGATTTAACATAGCGTGCAATTTTTCCAACTTCATCTACATCCTTTTCCATCCGCTTCTTGATTTCTGTACAGTTAAATTATTAATCATAAAAAATGACTAAGATGGACATACACACAAGGGAGGAAAACATAGTGAATATATAAAATGCAGTTACGCAATTCCCAAACTTAGCCAACACAAGATATAAGCTGCATCAATGGTAAATCATATCTTTGGAAGGTATAACATTTACTTTAAGGTTAAGTTTTCTTTGTGATGGATAAAACAGTCCCTTATTATTTACAAACAGCAATATTAAAGGCTCCAATACACAGTAGAATATACATTTGTTGTTTAACTTGTAATAGTTCTCTTAGCCGAATGAAACAGCCTACCTTTCATAGAAGCAGCCTTGGTCACTGACTTTGATTCTTCATGAGCATCCTACAGTTGAAGGATGGAATTAAAATGATTTCATCAGACAAAATTACGAATTGAAGTAAACTTCATGAATACTCTCACTTAAGTGATTCATACAAGACGTTCACAGTCATACAACAGGATGGACTAAGACTATGTGGCAACAAAATCGTGACGGCTGATATGGTGAACTTTACCATTATAGCTAGCAACAGGCCAGAAAAGAAAATAAAAATTGTTTGCCAAACACTACAATTTTATTTAAATGGTCAAGTAAAATCAGAATGTACCAACTATAAAGTAGAGAACCAAAACATACATTAGGAAAACAACACACTGTAACTACATAATTCAATGACATTGGAATTCAGGGTTCGAAAATGATAGTTCTTAATGTTTATTCATCAGGTATCCTTCTCCCTTCAACAGAGAAAATGAAAAATAGAAACAAGAAAATACTCACATCCATTTTTCAACCTCAGAATGAAATTTAAAAAACTTCACAAAAGTAACAATAGAAATCCAAGCACAAACCTGAAGCTTTCGCAGCTGAGTATCAAGTTTTCCACATTGTTTATCAATCTCCTGAACCTGAAAGCATGAATAAGACACAAGTCAAATTGGGAATTAAAAATTTAGGAAAACAAAAAATCATGAAGACATTAATTTAAATATAGCAATCTATATCCTATGGATTAATAAATAAAAGCTGATGTAAAAACTGTTGTACATGATCATCATGAAGCAATACTGTTTCAAGCTATGGCCACCTGCTTAAAGAAATTCTGCAAGCCTAAATCTCCTGAATTTGTATCCATTCCCATTTCAACATCGCTATATCTGTTAGAGCGCTGCTGTGGGATCGCAGAGGAATCCTGCAAAAAATAAATATATATAAAAATGCGCCATAGAAAAATAAATAAATGTAGCAGGAATTATGTTGATTTGAAGCATATTCAGAAAGATACATGAAAGAGGAGAACTTCATTAATCAATACTTGTAGTAATCCATAAAGCATTTCATATTCTACACCTGACTTTTTCAGATGCTAGAATGGGAAATTAATGAATATTTTAGATAACCCCAGCTAATTTGTGGGGTGTTCGAAATTCCTCAACCAAGTGAAAAATCTTGGTCAACAATCACAAGGAATGATTTTGGCTGGCTTTAGATTAGTGGTCCAGCAAGGCATAACAAGCATTCTTTCAGAGCTCTGTCGTCTTTCTTGTCTTTTCATATGTTGAACAAACAGAGAAATTTCCAACATGGATGGTAGGATTGCAAATATTATCACAAAGCAGAGCGTCCATGTAACATCAGTTGTTATCTCTTATAATGTCTTTTCTAAAATGAAAATCCTCTTCACTTCTCTTGTGTCACAAACACCAACCAAATCTAACAATGATGAACATTAAGTTCTTTTCGGCTTCCTGTATCTCCATACAATCTTCACATATGCATCTATTTCCATAAATACTCTACAATCTACACAATGGAGACACATGAATTAGTAAAATTTTATAGCTCTAAAATGTCACCAGAATCCATGCTGTGTGGGTCCCCATGCATGTGGATAATATATACTCCTTCCGTCCGGGATTATGCCACCTTTTCTTGTTTGTTTATTTGATAAACTTATGCACAATTTATTTAGAGTAAACAATTTTAGCCGCCCAAAATTTATTACTCCTACTTCAATAAATATGGTAACCAATTTATTAGTACTATTATTTTACTTACCCCAACTATTTTTTTGTAACTTATTTTTCATAATACTCTACTTTACAATTTACCTACCCCACTTTTACATTAAAATACTATGAGTATTTTTTAGTCTCCCTGTCCGGGCAATGCGGCATAAAAACTCGGACGGAGGAGTATTAAAAGTTACCACATGAAAATCATTCCATAAAAAAGATGATTATAGACACCAACTCAGAAATCATTGAGGATCACCAAACTACCTAGTTTAGTCAGGTATCACAATGTTTGAATTTCATCAACTCAAAACAGGATTCTTTGATTTCATCTTTATGCATGCCTATTGTAAATATCCAGCTATTAGTTAAGAGCTATTGCAAATTTCAGGTCTCTGGAAATGACTAGAGAAGGCAAATTTTGGGTTATCTTTGCCCAAAAGAGCAGGAAAACAAACACTCTAATCATTGGAGCTATATATTAAACACTTGAAACTTATTTTATCAAAAACTCTATACAAAGGAATGAACTCATTTTGCATTGAAGCATAAAATACAAAATCTTCTTAAACAATGCGACATGAATTTGCCAACATTAAAGATAACCTCCACTCAAAAACGCTAAACAGATTTACGATTACAATCAACTCTGTGTGTATACAAAATCTATTCAATCGTAAATACAAAAGTATGTGCACGTCTATGGAATCAATTCATTCATGCAATTCATAATATGACAGTGGCAACACAATCTCTCCTTTTTCATCCTAATTTCAGCTGCTAAAAGCTGCCGCATGCATTCTCAAGGTTTTCAAAACCTAAAAATTTCAAATAACAAAGCACATTATTCTCAACAAATGAGCGCAAAAGAAAAACAAAAATAAAATTCTTTGAATTATAAAAACGGAAACAAAACAGTATCTCACCGTCAACAGATCATTCATTTTGGAAGGCGGTGGTTTTCGAGAGAAGAGAGAAGAATTGATTCAACGAAAGATCTCCTTTCTCCTGAAGAACAATCAAAGGATTCCTTCGTCTCCGTCTCTCTTCTCGATTCTTCACCCTGTTCTTCTTCTTCTTCTTCTCTTCCTTCCTGTGTCTTCGTTTCTTTCTTCTATATATATATTCTTTGTACGCGGGACGTAGAGAGAGGGACGTTTGATTAATGATTTAATATATCATAAAATAAACGGAAAAAATAAAAAATATTCCGTTGAAATACAGAGATCTCAATATAAAAATTTATTATTTTTAATTCCATTATAAACAAATTTATCCATTTTATAAATTCACGGCTGTGTTTGTGTAGTCAGCGAGATTCTACGAGATATCCACTTCAAATAATCCTCGTATTTAATTCTCACTTGACCGTCAATTTATTTCAATAAAGAAAATTGGTACAATTGCACTTCACCCCCAAACAAAACAAAAACCACAATTACACCCACAAAAACATCAAACAACCCCGAAAAGAGACACAAAGTAAGTAACCTTAGTTAGCCTTAACAGCTTTCGTTGTGAGCCCGAACTCGAAAGGGAAAAGCGGGTCATAATGCCGGTCGCCGACGTTCATCGGAAGCTGATCGACGGTCTTAAACCAAGTCCTTGGAAGCTTGCCGGAGAAGCCGTAATCACCGAACAAAACATCGGCAACACCCTGTCCTTCGGTGCCTGGCAGCCATGCAGCCACCAGAGCATCCATCACCGGAAGGTGCGGCTCGATCACCACTGGTCGACCCGTCACGAGAACCACCGCGCATTTCACCGACGCGCATACCATCGAGATGGTTTTTAGTCCTTCGGCGGGGAGCGTCAAGTTCAAGCTGTCTCCGAACGTCTCGGCATAAGGAGGCTCTCCCACCACGACGATCGCGTACGAGAACTTGTTCGACTTGACGAAGGATGAGTCCGGCGACTCGTTGAATACGACATCGGTTTTTTTATCGACGGTGTTCTTGATGGCGGTAAGGATAGTTGTTCCTGATTCAAGAACACAATGTAGGTAGTTGTAAGTATATATACATATATATATAATTAGGAGAAGGAGACTGTGATTTTACCGGTGGTGATGTTGCCAGTTTTTCCTTGCCATTCGATTGTCCAGCCGCCACATTGGTTGCCGATGTTGTTTGCATGAGTTCCGGCGACGAGGATCTTTGTGGCCGTCTTAGGAAGCGGTAATAATGGTTTGTCGGCGTACTTGCCGTTCTTGAGGAGTACGAGCGATTTTCTTACGGCTTCCCTCGCCAGTTCGCGGTGTTCCTGTCGAATGTTTCCGGGAATTTGTAAGCAGAGGATAACAGGGGAGGGGAGAGAGTTTGGAAAGTGAATTACCGGATGTCCTAAGTACTTAGCCATGGAGTTGTCTGCAAGGGGGTGTTCGAACAGACCCATCGAGAATTTAACTCGAAGAATTCTCTGCACGGCGTCGTCGATTCGGCTCATGGGAATGAATTTGTTCTTCACCAGGGTGTGTAGGCCGTTGATGAAGTCTGTGTAGTTGTACGGAACCATAATCTGCGTAAAAGCATATATTACTGCAATACCAATACCAAAACCAATTACCAAATGCAGTTCATATTATAATAATTCAGTTACCATGTCGATTCCTGCAGTGATTCCAGCCATGATTGAAAACGTGTAGTTTGCTTTAGGTGGGGAAGTGATTCTGTCAATTCCTTCCCAATCGGAGATGACAAAGCCCTGCAGAAATTGATTTTGTTTTAGAAAGCTTGGTTGTTAATTTATTTATGAGCAAAAGGATTTTTAGCGAAATTACTCTGAAACGAAGATAGCCTTTGAGAACGCCGGTGATGAGATCACGATTTGCGTGCATCTTAATCCCATTCCAGCTTGAATAAGAGACCATGACGGTGGACACACCTTTGATGATCGAAGGGGAGTAGCCGGCCATGTGGATAGCAAGCAAATCGTGCCTGCTAACCGCGGTGTTGTTCTCGTTTATTCCTTTCGTCGTTCCGCCGTCGCCGACATAGTGCTTGGCACAAGCAGCCACGTTTTGTCTGAAGAACATAACCTAGTTTCAGAAGAAGATACAAGAAAGGCCAAACTCAAGTAGCAAAATAGCGATGTTCTAAACGATGAAAGGTTGAGGAACTTACTGCCCAGCGAGGTAGGGGACGCCCTTGTATTTAGCCGGTACTTCTCCTTGTAGACCTGAAATAATCTCAGTCATCTCACGAACGACGTTTGGATCTTCGCTATAGCTCTCATAGCACCTGCCCCATCTCGGATCTCTGCAAACCTGTTAATGGAACCAGATTTTATGAAGGAACTTGGATTTCTACAGAGGTTGATGCATTGTTGACTCCAATCACATTACCGCGATGCAAGGAGCAAAAGCATAATTGATGCCGGTAGCTCTGGTTTCACGAGCTGTTGCAGCTCCAATTCTCTTCACCAGATCAGGATCTCTGCCCAAAATGAAACGATGATTTCAATCATTACTTGCCTATACAAAATCGAAAGGGGAATAGACGAGAAAACGCAGTTTAATGACTTGCCTCGTTGCACCTAGACCGACATTGTGGGGGAAGATCGTTGCCTTATATACGTTGTTGTTTCCATGAACTGCATCAATGCCATACACCATTGGTATCCCAAGCCGCGTGGACAGTGATCCCCTCTGGAAATCATTCACCATGTTGATCCATGCCTCGGGGGATGCCTGCGGTGCTGGGACGCTTCCTCCACCACTCAACACGCTTCCTGCACAAAATTAGTAAATACACCGAAGAATCCATGAATCAAATCTTAGGATAAGGAAGATTTCTAGAAATTCAATGGTGGTAAGTACCTATGCCGTATTTCTTCATAACTTCGCGTGACGCAACTGTTCGATCTATCTGCGTCATCTGACCTATCTTCTCCTCTAAAGTCATCCTGCTCATTAAGTCCTTGATTCTGCTAGGTATCGACCGTTTCGGATCTTTGTACAGTACGTACTCAGCATTTCCTACAGCAATCGAGCAAATCAACAACACCACGCCAATCGCATACACCGAAGCTTTCCCCATTTTCCGCCGCGAAACCAGAATTGGACTGAATAACACACAAATTCCTCAATTAGTTCTCAAATTTACCACAACAAACACCAGAACACCAACACGTTAAAATCGCATTCAACTAAAGCAGCCATTCAAATCGATAAACACTAAACAGCAGCTCCAAACCTCACTCACTCACTAACACAAACCGCATTCGAATAACCACACCACAAAAACAAAAACTAATTAGAGATACAATTAAAAATGCAAACAACAGCAACATACAAAGAAACACTCCACACAACACGCAAAACAAAACAAAAAAAAAATCAACCGAATTCCGCACTCCTCCCCACCATCACAACAGCTCAAAAAGCATACAAACACGAACGCACGATCACATCCCCATTACCTGTATCCAGAGCACGAGAGAAAAGGGTATGGAGGACCAGAGGATTTGTAGGGAGAAGAAATCGGGTGACATTTATAGAAGGTCTGATTCCAGAAATCTGCGGGGCCCACCGAAAACCCGGTAAAGTAGAATATTTTTTCGTCGTTTACTGCAGTGACCATTTTTAGCTGCACGTAATCGTAAAATATTTTGATTTCGATAAGCACGTGATTACTTAGAAAAGGACAAATAAGTGGCGTTAATTGGGACATTTATGTTGTACTTATGTCAAATTTAGATAATTATTTTGTCAAATTTAGAATATTTTATAAAATTTTTGTTTTATTTAAATATTTTATAAATTAGTTTAATTATATATAATTAAAAAAGTTGTGTGAATAAAAATTTATTCCCTAAAAGTTGGGAATAAAAAAAATTAGAGTGTATTTATTTGTGAGATTTTATCTTTTATTTTATCTTTTAAAACTTTTTTTTCATAAACAATATCAAATTAAATATTTATTTTTTTATTTATTATACTATATTAAAATTTAATTTTATATTTATCAATATATATTTATATCATATCAAATAATTAATTTAATTTAAAATTTTACTATTAAAACCAAAATATCACAAACATATAGACGTACCTATAGAATATACTAAACATTTTTATGTACTGTCAATTCTTATTCTATTTATTTGTGCTATATGATACTGATTAATTGCTAATTAGCATTTTAACAGCACCCTTGTGGATTTTAATAAAACATTAATATACATTAGTATAACATAACATTAGACTATACGCTTTGTTCTCTTTTATTTTATTTTTCCAATTTTTAATATGTAATCTCACACTTTTTTTATAAAATTGTTTAATTTTATTTTATAAAATATCATATTAAACTACTTCGTTAAAAATACCATAAGAACAAATTCAAAATCATCTATTAATAATATGTGGGTCAAAATTTGGGAGGAGAAAAAGGTAAAAATAATACAACCTTATAAATCATTTGAAATTATTTTTGTTTAATGTTTTGGTTCTAAGTATAATTTTTTATATGATATATAAAAAATTGTGTAATTTGTATAAAAATAATATTTTATATTGAATGTTGATATTGTGTGAAATGATAAGATATAGTATTATATAATTAGTAGATAATTAAGAATATATTAGTGAAAATAATTATCTTATAACATAAATAATTATAAATTAAGATTAAGATAACTAATTAGTTTAATTAAAATTTAAAAATATATAAATTAAAAAATTTAAAATGAAATTAAAGTGTGTAATCATTTTCCAAAAAAGGAAAGTGACATGAAACGTGGAACGGACAGAAACGGCAACGTGGACATGGTATATGGGACGGAGAAAATATATATTAAAAATCACATCAAAAAAAAAATGGTGGAAGAACACACCCTCTTCCACCCTAAGGGTGTCTTAAAACCTCGTTTTATTTTTTAATGTACTTTTAACATTTAAAATTAACATTATTTAATTTTTACTATTTTTGATAATAATATATTATTGTTGAACACAAAAAAAATAATAATAATTAATAATGGCAGTAGGATTCTGGATGTGTCTGAATATAAGCCAAACGATCCAGATGTCGGTTGAAAGAGTGAGGTCGGGCGAAGAAGGAGATCAGATGGTACGCAGTCGGATAAGCAGGTCAGTTGGTTTGCAGTCTGACCAAAGGAAGTTGGTCGGTTGATCTGCAGTCCGACCAAAGTAAATTGGTTGGTTGGCCCACGGACGGGCCAAGGTAAGACGGTATGGTAGCTGAGTCAAAAGGAAGAAACCATCTTCAATCGACATCAAATTCAAGAGAATTGTTTTTAGAGATCACCACTTTATTTTCCAATCTTTTATTTTATTTTTCTTATTTTACTTATGTATTCTACAGTGTTTAGATATTCTTAATCTCATGCACTAATTATATCAAATTCGAAGATATTTCCCTACTTTCGAATTGTACTTTTTATTGTTGAAAAATCGCATCAACAATTATTATTATTTTTTTATAAAATATCATATCGAAAAACTATTTAAAAAAAAAAACTCAAATTAATACTTAATTTCAAATTGCAATCAAACAAATTTATATATTTTGCTTATATAATCAGTTTGTTTATATAATATTTCTCGATATAACAATTCTCCGTAAATATTATTAAAAAAATACAAATATACATACACATTAATATAATACTCTTTTTGTCCTATGTAATATAGACATATTATGGTAGATAATAAAGTATAATTAGTAAATAATTAAGAAAATATATTAATAAAAATAATGATTGTACAGTAAAAGTAATTAGAAATTAAGATTAAGATAACTAAATAGTTCAATTAATATTACAAAAATTATAAAATTTAAAATCTAAAAAAAGATTAAAGTGGATAATCATATTTAAAAAATAAATAAATGACAAATTATATTGAACTAACAAAAATAAAAAATATAGACAAATTATGTGTCACATAATGAGTATATATATATTATCCACTTATAAAAAAATCAATCGTTCAATATAAAATATTATTTTTTTATATTAATAACATTATTTTTCATACCACAAATAAAAAATTAATTTGTCTAAAAACGGTGAACAGACAGAATATTTTCAAAATTTTGGTACTATTTAATTTGTTTATAAAAATATTTATTTATTTTTTTTTAAAAAAAATCATATTACATACTATTTTTTTTATTATCTTTAAAACTTAAAAAACTTCTAATGAGTATATATATATATATATTATCCACTTATAAAAAAAAATCAATCGTTCAATATAAAATATTATTTTTTATACATTCTATCGAGTAAATGTGGTAGTCTTTAGTTTTGGAAGTTGTGAAAATAGGAGTCGTCCAAAACTCGAGTCAAGTGGGTGGGCAAAGACCCGCATGTCTTCATCAATAACGTGAGTCCTACTTAAATGAGGTGATATTTATACGAGGGACAATATTAATATATTCAATATTTTAAAATATATATTTTAATTATAGTTTAGTGCTCTCAACATTTATAACAGATCTATTTTATTAATGATATATTAGTATTAATTAATAACAATAAACTATGATTATTATTTATTTATTTTTATATAATAAATAGTATCGATATTTTAAAATAAATTTAATATATATAATTAAAAAGATAAATATATATTTCAATATTTTAAAATTTATATCGTAATAAAAAAATAAATATATAATATGAATATTATTCTATAAAAAAATTTATTTTTAATATTGCAAATAAATAAAAAAATAACATGAACTAATTTTATAAATATGTTGAGTTTTAATATAGATAATTTTTTATTTTTTTTAAAAGAGTGATAGAAGTAAATAAGTTTGATGGTCCTACGTAATGTGTAATGTATAATTATATAATATATAGTTAATTAAATTAATTTATATTTATTTAATATTTCGATTTAATAAGTTTAATAAAGAAATATCAATTTTGTTATAGGCCTATATTAAATGTGTTGTCTATCCCGTGCTAAATATTTTTGTTTGTTTTGTAAAACAGTTTGAAAGAATTTTGTTTGCAAAAATTGTATAAATATATATAAATATAATGAATATATAATATATTATTTTTATATTTAACAAAAATTAATTTAAATTTAATTTTCAGTAAATACATTGAATCGTTGTTTTAGGCATCATCTAAATAGGAAGTTCTAAAATCTTGAAAACTCGAAAATAATACTTCCTCCATCCCAGAACTAAATATCCATTTGTTTTTTGCACGTAGTTTTAGAAATATTAGTATTATATTGGGATATAGTAGGAATAAAGTAGAAATGACTAAAATAATCTTATTAGTACATGTGACATAAAGGTAATTACATTTGTGTAATATATTATAAGTTGTAAGGGTATTTGTAGTATTAGGTAAACATTACGGTTACTAAAAAAGAAAATGAATATTTTGTTATGGGACGGACTAAAATGAAAAAATAGATACTTTGTTATGGGACGGAGGGAGTATAAAAATAAATAAATGTTTTATATAGTACTCTCTCCGTCTGGCTCTAAAAGTCTTATTTACATTTGGCGTCATTGTATTTAACATTAAAAATATCATTATATTTATAAAAAAATTTGCACAAATGTCATTTTAATAGTATTATAAGATACTAATAAAAGTATTTTTGCTGTTTTTCTTTAATTTGTACTACGCTTTCATATAATAATTAATATTAAAAATAAATATAAAAAAATAAATGGAACCCTTAGAACCGGACAGAGGTAATATTATGTTATGATAGAAAATATATAACATATTTTTTACAAATTATTTTTTAAAAATAATGTCAAAATTTTTTAAAATATATTTGTAAATAGTCTTATTTTCACAAAATCAATTATTACATAATCATTACTATCCAAAAGTCATAAAAAAAAAAAAAAAAAAAAAAAACATTCAAACACATTTAAATTCAATTTTTTTTTTTTTTTCAAAACTCAATAAACATTTTAGGCTCATTCGGTTATAAGGGATTTAAGTTTATAACAATAAAAGTTTGAATTAAAATCGGCTTTGTTCATTTACACATTTTTTTGTATTGATATTATTTTCAATATATATAATACTCTATCCGCTTCCATTTTCGTGGATCCAAAAGAAAAAATGATTCTTTTTATTTTTAATAAATTTATTTATTTTAAACATATTTAATAAATATAAATTATTTCATTTATATTATATTTAATTTATTGAGATATAATTTAAAAAATATTTAAAATATCAATATCACTATTCATATAAAATAATAATACAAAATAGGTCATCTTTACTGGAACAGATGAAGTATTTATTTTATTTTTTTCACAAAAAGTAAATATAAATAAAAAAATATTATTTTTATATTATCGACACAATTTTTTATACTCCATATAAAAAAAATGCCTCAAAAATTAAAATACTCTCTCCGTCTCAATACAATAGTCTTGTTTACTATTTTTTTCGGTCGCAAAACAATAATCTCATTTCCATAAATACTCATATCACCATAAAATTATCCTTACTT